TATATATTTGTGCATCTCAAAGGTTCACCAGGTACAAAAGGATATAGATTTAGAAAATATTTCACTTACATTGTTCTGTTACTTTGATATTCCCACTCACACCATCTTGGCTCCTTGGAGGCTGATCTAGAGAAAAATATTGATTGAATATTAATTTATAAAATTGTTGAACTCAACCATCATCTCCACCAGGAGACAGAACACAGCAAGACAATAAACATTGACTCTTTGAAAATGTTTGATCATAATCAGATACAAGTAGGTTCTGAAGGAAAGGAAAATAAACACAATTGGGTAGGAAAGGTGATCCACTGGGAAGTATGCAAATGACTTGTATTTCATTCTAGGCAAAAACCAAAAAATATCCTAGAGAATGAAAAACAAAATTCTAAGGAATTTTAAAATTCAAACAAATTACCCAGTACAGGCCAAATCTAGTGATTGCCAAAAAATGCAGTTTCTTCATAAATTAAATATTTGTGATAATAGGAGAAAAAAAAAATTTGAAGACAGGGATTATCACTGGTCATGAACTAAGTTCAGAATTACAGACAGAATAGGCCTATTATATGTATTATGTAAAGTCCTTGCTAATGGTTTTGCTGTAGAAATGCATTGGAAATGATTTTACAAAATGAATGTACCGGAAGTAAATTTATGATACAAATTCAGTAGAAAAGGATTATCATGAGTGAATACAATTGTTACTGACATAATAGGGATATTATATGAATGTATTGCTAATAAATTTAGCTACAGAAAATAGAAATAAAATCAAGAAATGGATTGTTAATGATCAGTAATTAATATCAGTGTTACTGAAAGAAGTCTAACCAAGATTCATTATTGGCATCCACAATCTTATCAACATTAAATATGCAGATGACACAGTGTTGATAGCAGACACAAATAGGAAACTAAAGGCACTCTTATGGAAGGTAGTAAAGGAAAGTAAGAAGAAAGGACTAAACATCAATTCTAAGAAGACAAAATGTATTGTTGTCAGCAAAAAGAAAAACCCAACATGCAAATTACAAATTAAAGTTACCAAAATCAAACATGTACAAAAATTAAAATATCTAGGAATTGTTTTAACAGTTGATGCAAAATGCAATACTAAAATCTGAAGACATACTGAGATAGTGAAATATGCCTTCTAAAAATTACTCAAAGTATTAAGAAACAAGAAAATGTTGTTAGAAACAAAGAAAAATGTACTGAACTGTTATATAATATAAGTCCTCCTAAATGGTAGTGAATATTGGACAATCTTATCTTGGATGAAGAAATTTGAGGCAACAGAAATGTGGTTTTACAGAAATATGCTAAGAATACATGTGAGCAACAATGAAAGACACTTAGATACTTAGTGCGGGGCTTAAAAAGCAAATTACCCGAAATTTCAACCAGAGAAAAGTACTCCTATACCCCATCCATGGTATCTGATTACAGTGATAGAATTCCTGTTAATTAGTCTGATATTATAGAAACTCTTTGATCTTAGCATCAGAAAGAGACAACTGAAATTTTTAGGTCACTTAAATTCATAAAATCTAAGCTGTAACCATAAGTTCTATGCTAACAATTTCTTTTCTCACACTTCTTACTTGTGGAATTCTCTTTCAATTTCTTGCTTCCCAGTCAACTTTGATCTTCATTAATTTAATTTCAATCATTATTTTCTGTTTTCTTAATGATTGTTTTTTTAATGTTCTCTCTCCTTAATAGTGTTTTTTCTCATATTTTGTTGTGACACTATTTAACACGATAAAGGAAAACGGTTAAATTAAACTATGAAGTGGAACAGACAGAGAGGGTTAAAAGTACAGAATAACATATAAAATGAAAAAAGGAACAAAAAGGTTTCCTATCAAAATCTAACTTGAAGAAAAGACAGATTTGAAAAGAATGGCTTTATTGGTTTTAGGAAATATTTTATCAGAGGCTATATGATAGGCTTCAACCAACATGGTCCAAGAAGGAATTTGTGAAAGTACATTCGAGGTTAGTATAGAATTTAGTAAATGAAAGCAGAAATTGAGAAATTGATTTATGTCCACTTAATTAAAGTAGAAATTATGAAAACATGCGTCATGATTACCAGGCCGAAGAAGGGATTAATTGAGTTATAATATTTTGTATTTTGAAGACGAAGGCAGAATTGAGAAACTGATTTATGCCTGCTTGTCAAAGAGTGGAAATAACTTTGTCTATTTTGGAAATGTAAACAAATTGAAAAATAGGATTTTATCCGTTACTCGAAGAAATTGAAATACAAAATGGACCTGTAAGGTTCATGAGTACAATTAAGTAAGAAAAAATGGGTCAGTAGAACAGCTGGTAAATGTTTGCTTAAATAAAATGGATCAGGAACTGAGAAAATTCATTGTTGAAAATTATGATAATTACAATTAATAATTAAAGGTAAAAACTTCTCTTTCACCCACCCAGTTTAAAGACAGCTGAAGTGGTGAGCTTAAATGAAATACCAAGAAAGGATGAAGAAGAAAGAGAAATTACCTCCACCCATTTAGAAATAATGGTGCAAGGCATAAATAAGAGAAGGAATGAATTATAAGGGTGTGGCAATTATTCTCTGTGCATTTTATTTCAATTCTTACACATGGCCAATATGGATAAATGGTGAGAACAGATATTGTTATAAGATAACCTCCACCACCTACAATATATCTTAGTATGTTTGCTTGTAAAATTTCTTGAAAAGTGACCCAAACTGAAATATAAATTTATTAGGTTTTCATCAATCTGGATTTAAGTTCAAGTCTATCAATGATGACTACTTACCAATGCAGTTTACTTTTTCTTGGTGATCACAGAATCTTGCTTTTGAAGAAAACAGAGTTCCTTGTGGACAGCTTCCAAAAAACATTTGTTGATTGAAGCACAGAATAAACTTATTGCAATTATAAGGATGTGGATATTCACCATCAGCAATTCCTTTGCATTGACCTATTAATAGCATTCAAATATAAGACTATTATTATTTTAAATAAAACATAAGTAAATAAATAAAAAAAAAAATTCTTGTAGATTAATTTACCATGGTTAAATGTAATTGGCAGAATTTCCCAACAAACAGAATTGATAAAGTTTGCAATAAACAATAACAAAAGAAAGAAAAGAACAGGGCAAAAATTAATATTATGCAAACAATATATGTAAAACAAAAGTAGACAAAGCAACAGTAATGAGGCAAAAAAATTCACAAATTAAGAATGGTGTTAAGATGCAAAAGGAATGCATACAAGTGATCACAGCATTCTGATTTCAAGACTAGCAAGAACAGAAATTTAGTGGATGAGGCCAAGAAATAGTCTATCTTATTGGCTAGGAAGAAATCCCAGCATGCATCTGCATGATTTGTTTATAAATTTGGGGAGTGGGATGTTTTTGCAGTCATTCCAAAAGGATTGGAACCAGCAAGTAGGAATAAAAACATAGTATTATTATTATTTAGACTACTTTCATGTGGACTATTGTCCTCATCTTTGTTGTTATTATCACATTTCAGCTGTTATGCCCTTCGGCCTTCATCAGGAGTATGTTAATCCGAGTAACATAAAGAGTATTTCAAACTGAACTATTATTAATGATATCGAAACATAAGACTACATAAAATGTAGGACTATTTTTAATGGCAGTAAATCACAGAACTATTACTATTTTAAAAAATGCCATGTCTCTTCAAGAGGTAAGTGATCATGGTTTTTCATAAATTTCTTTTCTTTATTATCTGTGAACTGTGAATTTCTTGGGAATAATTTTCTGTTGTTTTCTCTATGGTTTTGAAATTCAGTCCTTCTCCTAGACTCACTGCCATTCAAAGCTAGAGAATCCATTTAACACTGCTATTTAATCCATAGCTAGACAAAGAAATGGATTCATATCTTTTCAGAGGACATTTGTGTGAAAGTGAATGCAACAAGCATGCCTGCAATTTGAACTTAGTTTGCTGCTTCCACTTTCCGCTATTACACCAGCTGCACTTCCTGGATTATTATTATTATTATTATTTCAAATAAAAGAGGCCTATTAGCAGTAGAGGATGATTATTAATCACAGGACTATTATTAATGGAGGAAAAAAAGAAAAGACGTTTTTCAAGAGAGTTTGTTTTTTACAGTAAGGTTGACCCCGTACAAGGCCTGCGAACCACTCAAGGTAGAGGGTTACATTAAGAGGCAGTTTATGTACATAAGAGAGGAAGATAACAGTTAACCCTAGACTTAAACAAGTTAAGATTGTAGTGATTGGGGAAACATCCTCTTGGAAGTACGTCCCACAGAGTAGCGGTTTGCAGGAAGAAGCTGTTTGAGTGGAACTTACTTCTCATCAATAGAATACAGAAGGAATGTTGGTGGTTTGCTACAGTGTGAATGGCATGGTGGGTTAGAAGGTTAGAACTGGTGGAACCAAGGAATGGAGTTTGTGCAAGCACTTTCCATGGAAGTAGCTATAGAACAGTTAGAGTCTTGCCACATCCTGCCAGTGAGAGAGAGTTTGGAGGATGGAAAATAAATCATCACCCACAAGGACTTGGAGACACTTTTGGACCTACAATGTACCAAAAAATATAGATATTGGAATGTTCTGTATTCATCGGATGTTTCTCTATCTATTCTATATTTATACAGAAGTTTAAATAAAATGAGATTTCTGAAAAAGTTGGCAATCTTGTCATCCGTTTAAATCAGTATTTTCTCAACTGGTGGTTCACATAGCATTTCTAGTGGTCCACAGAGAATTTGTAGCTATAAAAAAATTTTAGCCATTTCACAAACATGTATCTAAATTATTCATACTTTCAAGAATTAAAAAAATATAATATTTTGTTTAATTACACACATGTCCATTATATTTTTTTAAAAAAGGGACTATTCTTGGATATATGACTGTCATATTTCAAAATTACATAGATATTACGCAGTGCTATATTTATTATGATTATATCTTGTGTGAGAAACACCAGATCAAGGTAGTCACTAGCTGAATGAACTAAGACTGAATGACATCATGAAAATGGATTTTGAAATCCTGTGTTTATCCTTGTTTACTAAAATACATTTTAAAATGTAAATAGACCACTTTGTTTTTTCATTGAGTATTTTAGTGTGAAAATTGAACAGCTTAAAAGTAAAAGTAGGAGTGGACCATTTGAATTTTTTGAAGAAAAAAATGGTCCATGGGCTGAAAATGGTTGATAAGCACTGGTATAAATGGACGAGCTTGATTAGCACTGAAATGATTGGAATCTTTTCCCAAGCAGAAAGGTTTAGATAATGAATGATTACTTGAATTAAAAAAAAGGACAATAAAAAATGATAATATAGGTCAGATAAGTAGTTGCTGTAGTTGTGCAGCAATAAAAGTCACATTCCTTATAGATGAAATGACCACATGTCGCATGTATTTTCTGACAAAAATAGAAATCTGAGCCATAACCCAAATTCATTGATAACAACATCAGCAGTCTATGAAAGTTTTGTATCTGATCATCTCAAGTTTCTATATAAATTGCTACATTTGAGTGTTGGGTGGGGTATATCCCAACTGGTCAGCTCGGCGATAATTGGTTTTTCCTATTGACAAACATTGGTTTTCCTCATTGGCGACCTTGCACAAATTCTTTCTATTACAAACAGTAGCAATACTTATAGATTGAGTGTTTTGGTTTTTATGGTTTATCAACCCTTTGCAGGTTATTTAAAGCCAGAAAATATTTTTAGATTGTAATAATTTTGGGGGAGATAATAATGATTTACTGATATAAGTCCTATTAATTAACCCATAGCTAAGGTGTGAAGAGATGGATTCATACCTTTCTCAAGGGTATCTGTGCATAAGTGAATATAATGAACTCGACTTGAATTGGAACTTGGTCATCTGATTTCCAATTCCGAGCTGTTATCCATTACAACATCTGTACATCCATGCTTACATTACCTGGTATTCTCAAGTTGTCACTCATGTAGATACTGACCAAGATCAATGTTGCTTAACTTCTGTTATTGTATGAGAAATGGTGTTTCAATGTGATATGGTCATAAGCCATACTACATGTGCATCCATGATTACAGCAGAAAAATCTTCTAATTTACATAAGAAACTTGATATAATCTTTATAAAAAAAAACAGTAGATTTCTCTTCTTACAGAAATTGATATTAATTTCATTATCATTTTTTCTAAAGAACTTCTTTCTGTTTGACCACCAGAGTTAAGCAACATCAAGCTTGGTCAGTACTCAAATGGGAGACTCCTTGTGAAGACTTGGTACATGGGATATGATTCAGGCATTAATGACCCTGACAGTGTCTTACCATCAGGCTACTTGAATTTTATGTGTCACAGGCAATCTCCAATTACCTTGACTGGTTCTTCTCATTGAATCAAGGCTGCCTGAGGCTGATAATCCACTTAATGTCATAGAAACTATGAATGATTATAAACAATCATGCAGGTAAGATTGGGTTTCTGATGGTTGGTTGAGGAAACCCCCTAACCCATGTAACCTGTTTGGTGGCCATCTTAATGTCATGAATGGGCAGCCATATGGTAATGGTAACATTAGCTGTTTACCTATGAGGAAACATTTGGCATTCATCAACTGAGCAACCAGCACTGCTTTCAGTTGAAATTTATAATTTCTTTCTTTTAAAACAATTTTTCAGGAAAATAGGTTTCTCAAGTCCAGTAGCTGTTATTGCTCTTTCCAGTACTGATGGGGGTTTCCTTTATAACCTTTTATTTGGAGTAGTGTGTTTGGTGGTCATCTTAATGTCGTGAGTGGGTAGCCATATATGTGGAATATATATGAGTAAGTATTTGATGAGAATCTGATGGAATGGTAAATCTAATTTGTAAATCTTCTATTTTGACAGCTTTCGTTGGAGATTTAACAAGAACAATGGAAACAATGAAAAGAATGAAAAACTTAAAATAAATGAAGACATAATCAAAATAAAACTGAGTAGAATTTGGTTATAAAATCTAATTTCTTTAACAATGCAGTTAAAGTAACAATTAAGTGTTCATATGTTTAGCCTGAATCATGTTTAGGTATGCTAATGTAGATTTTGTTGAGATATTTCTTTTTTTTTGATGATATGAATTCATCAGCAAAACATCTCAAAATAGAATTTTTCAAATTGTCTTTAATATATATATATATATATATATATATATATATATATATATGATGCCCTTGATGAGTGGATGGAGTAATTTCGGGGGGGTCCATCTATGAAACACTGGAGTGAGGATGCTGAAGGTATCATCAGTCAGCTATGTGACAAATTTTATATTTGTATTCTCTCTCTCTCTAAATTATATATATATATATATATATATATATATAAGTACAGTGAAGAGGGAGTCTGTGAAACACACTGCCTCCATATTATACCATTGCCAAGGCCTCATCCCTGGAGATGTCACTGACTCCTGTCTCACTACCAAAGGACTGAATTTTGACCAGAGTGCTATCTTTATCTCACAAGACAAACAAATACCTAATATATATATATATATATATATATATATATATATATATATATAAACTGACAAATCAAACAAAACTTAGGGACTCAGACCAAAATGTTTTTGTTACTTGATAATCATGTAGGATGAAACAAAAATAACATTTTTTTTTGTGTATCCAAACTTATTTTTTAACAAGAGGTTGCTGGAAACACGCACGTATATATATCTAGTAATGATAACAAAGATTGTTTTCATCTAAAAAAATGTTGACCAAAAGATAATAATTTTAAAACAAGCAATCTTTACAAATAAACTTCTTAATATTAAGAAATAGAGCAAAATAAAATGTAAAATATAAAATATTTTCATTAATTTAACATCAGAGAAATATCATAAGTAATGAACTTCAAAATCTTTTTCAATGGATCTTAAACTTCATCTGGAAAAAGATTATTTCTACTAACCTTCAATAGTGGGGTACTTTTGATGTGTTACATATTCCCTCCCAAACTGTATTGATGGCTTCTCTGGTATAATAGGAATTGCTTTTTCAGGTACAACAGGCTGTTTCCCATGTACAAGAAAACTATCCATCCCAAATCCAATTGGTTCTTTTGCCGGTACTACTAAACCAGGCCTCCCAGGTACTGTTGGCTGCTTGTGAGGTACAAAAGAACTGTCAATTCCAGGAATGACTGGCTGCTTGTCAGGTGAAAGAGAACTATCCTGTTTTGGTATACCAGGTTGTGTATCAGGTGCAAAACCTCCATCAATTCCAGGTATGATAGGTTGCTTGCCAGGTGAAAGAGAACTATCCTGTTTTAGTGTATCAGGTTGTGTGTCAGGTGCAAAACCTCTATCAGTTCCAGGTATGATTGGCTGCTTGCCAGGTGAAAGAGAGCTATCCTGTTTTGGTATATCTGGTTGTGTATCAGGTGCAAAACCTCTATCAAATCCAGGAATGATATGTTGCTTGCCAGGTGAAAGAGAACTATCCTGTTTAGGTACATCAGGTTGTGTGTCAGGTGCAAAACCTCCATCAAATCCAGGTATGATAGGTTGCTTGCCAGGTGAAAGAGAACTATCCTGTTTAGGTACATCAGGTTGTGTGTCAGGTGCAAAACCTCCATCAAATCCAGGTATGATAGGTTGCTTGCCAGGTGAAAGAGAACTATCCTGTTTAGGGTACATCAGGTTGTGTGTCAGGTGCAAAACCGCCATCAAATCCAGGTATGATAGGTTGCTTGCCAGGTGAAAGAGAACTATCCTGTTTTGTTAGATCAGGTTGTGTGTCAGGTGCAAAACCTCCATCAAATCCAGGTATGATAGGTTGCTTGCCAGGTGAAAAAGAACTATCCTGTTTTGGAATTACTGGATGGGTATCAGGTGCAAATCCCCTATCAATTCCAGGTATGATAGGCTGCTTGCCAGGTGAAAGAGAACTATCCTGTTTTAGTGTATCAGGTTGTGTGTCAGGTGCAAAACCTCCATCAATTCCAGGTATGATAGGTTGCTTGCCAGGTGAAAGAGAACTATCCTGTTTTGGTATGCCAGGTTGTGTGTCTGGTGCAAAACTTCTATCAATTTCAGGTATGACTGGCTGCTTGCCAGGTGAATGGGAACTATCCTGTTTTGGAATTACTGGATGCGTTTCAGGTGCAAAGCCCCTATCAATTCCAGGTATGATTGGTTGTACTTCATTTGAAACAAGAACATTCCCTCCTGGCATCAATGGTGATTTATCTGTTTTGGCAAAACTCTGTCTTCCTTGCAGTACTTGCTCCTTGCCAGACACAACCAAATTGCCTTTTCTGGTTACTTTTGGCTGTTCACCAGTTTGAGAAACACTTCCAGTATCAGGGACTAATTGTTGTCCTTCATATTGGACTGGGCCACTTCTTTCAGGTACTATTGATGGATTATTAGACACTGGAGAAGCACCAGTTGTGAGATGAAATGATTGTTTGCTGGATACAAATCTTTGTTGGTTGTCTGGCACCATAAAATTATCTGTTCTTGATACCTGGGTATGCCAGTCATATATTCCAGAATAATCCCTTTTTGGTACAAGTGTTTGTTTAATAGATGCTGCACCAGGTATTGTTATCTTATTTCCTATTAAAAGAAGACCATCTTTTTCAGGTACTTGGAATTGTTTCTGGTTCCCTGGTGTATCAGGTATTGAAGGTTTTACAAGCTGTTTATCCTGAATAAATGAATTGCTCATTTCTGGATAATGGAAACCATCTCTTCTGGGAGTCACTGGTTGTTTATCATATGGGAAAGAACCATCCATTCCTGGCACTGATGGTTGGTTTATAACTACAAAGGAACCTTCTTTTGTTGGTCTTACTGGTTGATTGTCAATCATAGTAAAAGAATGTCTTTCTCTGATGTAATATTTTTTATCTGTAATGAAAAGAAAAATTTTGTAAATAATTACATGCTAGTTTACAAATAATTTTTGTCTGAATTTCTGGGATGAGGAGTTATCATTATTTACACTATTTACATGCAGACTTTTGTCCTCATTTTTATTGTTGTTATCACAATGTTTCACGCGTTGTGCTCTCAGGACTTCCTTGGGTGTATATTGATCTGGGTAATCTATGGGGAATTCTGATATGAAGCCTTTATTTAATCTACAGGGCTAGGCTGTTCTCATTCCACTGCTCATGATGAGAACAATAGTCTGAATATAAACAGTGTAAATAGCTTTCTCCATGCTGTCAACAAAATGATAGTTTATTTAAGTATTGTAATCCTATGTGTATAAAACACAGGTTTTTATCCAAAATCATGCCCAAAAGTATGCTGCATCTTATACATTAGTTTACAACTCAATCACATTTTTCCCAAGACTCAAAACAGACAAAATCAGGTCAAAGTGGATTTATTTGTTTACCAGAGAGATAATAGCTATCTCATACCATAATGCAACAAAGGGAAATAAATCTTTGATGATGTTTCTCTATGTTCTGTAAGGTTCCATATTTTTTTTGTTGAATTTAGACATCTATGTGAGTTTGGAAATAATTCAAAGGCAAACACATTATTTATGATAAAAAATACAAAATAATATGTAATTTCAAAATAAAAGTTATCAAAAATGTTTTTTATTGAAAGGCACTTAATGAATGTTTCACAATAAACATCTTTAGCAAGTTTGGCAAACAGTTACCATTGTTTTTTTTGCTCTACATGAAAATAAGCTTTTTTCCCTAAAATTTCTGTGCATTTTTTAGCTGCATTCATTTTTGATTTATGCACAAAAGATTACAGCAATTGTGCATTTGTATTTATATGTTATCAAAAACTATGTTGCACTGAATTTTCTTCTTTATGCTTAGCCATTTAGACACTGATTGAGTCAATGACAACTTAAGAGCTGCTTTGATGGTAGAAACATGGAATTTCTAGTATATTATCAGGTTAGTTCACAATACAGTGATGGACAATTTATCCATCTTATGTTGTGGATTCTTCTGGCTATGTAGAAAAGTGTGAAACACATAGATAATAAATATGCATGCAAATTGTGTTTTATTGCAAGGAAAGTTGGGTCACTGTATCATGCCAGATAATTTTTCTCATTAGATTCCATTTTGCCCATTTACAAATCTATCATTCACCCATGCACTGAATTGTGCTGCCATATCTTGTCTGGTGCTCCTGCTATTCATCTTGAGGTTCTTGACAAAATCCAAAGAAGGATCTGTAATGTAATTGATTCTGACTTGGTATCTCAACTTCAGTCATTTTCTCACTGACATACCATGGTTTTATTCTTTCTTTTCTACAAATATTTTCATAGCAACTGCTCTGACAAGTTTTTTTTTTCCTGGTACCTCAACTGGATGAATTTAATTGTGCCACTAGATTGGCATCTAGGTCCTACCTGTTTAGTGTTGAACTAGCTAAATGCAACCGCCACTTCTACTCCAGCAGTTTCTTTTCTCGCACTTCCTGCCTATGGGACTCCCTCCCAATTCATCTGCTACCTTAATCACTACAATCTTCAAAAATTGAAATACAATGTTAATCATCATCTCCCTATATTCAGTCTTCACTCTCACTTCCTGTAACCCTCTTCATACGAGTGGCATTCCTGCAGCACTTGGAGTGAAATGATTATATGTATATATATATATATATATATATATATATATATATATATAATATTTATTAATAATTATAACAAGAACATGTTTTAAACTGCTACATAAATGCAATCATGTTTCAACACTGTATGTGCCTCCTAGAGTTGAGCATCACAGCCCCAGGAGGCACATATAGTGTCGAAACCTGATAGCATTAATGTAGATGTTTATAACATGTTTTTGTTATTATTGTTAATAAATATTATTATTATTAAGCTCTACTCTGTATTGAACACTTTTTTAAAATAAAATGTCTGGACATTGGTACTAACCTACCTTACACTTGGATATATATATATGAGTAATGAAAAGTTTGGTAATCCGTATGGATAATCCCAAGGAGGATGTAATCCAGAAAGCTCAATGCCAAATCAGGGCAATTATTAATTAAATTTAAATAGAAAACAGACAACCTTAAGAGTTCATTGGTTATAATTTATTTCCCCAGGTATATTATTTCTACCTGGTTCATCAGACTGCATTTCCAATGGGGGGAAAATGTTATAAATTTACATATAGTTCTTACACACTTTTGAGGGGTAGTTCTAAGTTGATGTAAGGTGATATAGAGAGAGGGGTATGACAGACATGATCAAAATTAGAGAATAAAGGGAGAGGTAGGAATAATTTTAAATCTATATTCATAAAGATATTTAAGAGTAAGGTAGGGGGGTGATGAGGACCAGACATTGACGTATTTAATAAGTCATCTCACGGGAAATGAGATAAAGAGAAAAAAGAGAAGTAAAGATATATGAAAGCAGAAGTGGAAATAGGGTTTGAGAAAGGGAAATAGATTGTAAAGAATGAGGGAAAAGAAAAGGAAGGGTAAATTAACATATATGGGCATATCAAATATGATGGGAGAGTCCACCATATATATATATATATATATATATATATATATATATATGGTATTTGATCATATGTATGGTATTCGACGTATGAGAGTCAAGCAGCTTAGTTCCTAGGAGCTGACAGTCAGGAACCAGTGCATATGATTTGATTATAGTGGTGAAAGTTTTGTGCAGAACCAACCAAACTTTTTGAAGGGCCAAATAGAGAGACCTGGTTCATTGCATGCCAGAAAGTCCCCAAATGACCCTCTGCAGGTCTTGAATTCAGAGTTGTCCTTCTCCTAGACCAGTTTCCATCCAAGGCTATAGAACCCAGACTCTCCTGCTATTTAGCTATAGCTGGGGAGAGATGAAGATTAATACCTTTCCAAAGGGTATTAGCATGTAAGTGAATGTAATGGATTTAACTGGAATTCAAACTCAGCTCTCTGATTCCTCAATTCAAGCCACTATACCCTACTCCACCATTTCTTTATATATATATATATATATATATATATATATATATATATATATATATATATATTATACACTGTTGCATTAGAACATGTAAGTAATTACTACAAAATTGTACATTTTGTTTCAACATCTAAATAAAACGTCTGTTCAGGTAAATAATAATGATGGTAATAAATGGTCTTATTTAAAATTGGAATTAATGAAATATCACTTCATTTTCTGTTTTTGGAAAATTTTCCATATAAGGTAAAAAGGATTTTTATGAAGAAAAAGGGGAAAAAAATAAGAAATCAACAAAGGAAAAAGGAAGATGAAAGAAAAGAAAGGCAAAAGAAAGTATAAGAAATTAAACTTCCTACCAAGATAATAGACAGAAAAGAAATTTATTGTTATTATTGATTAGAGAGAGTTGCATGCCAATAAAAATAATGCTGGAGTACAAATATATGAAACCAAATCATGGTACCTAGTGTGATAAGGGTACACTAATCATATTATTATTATTATTACTAGTACGAAAAAGCAGCATGCCACTATAAATATGCAAAGCCAATACATCCATCATGACAACCAGTCTGATAAGCATATACTAGGTATATTATTATTACTAGTGTATCTATGCCATCAAAAGTGATGGCAATTGTTAAGAAGTTTTAATAGTGAGATGCAATCAAACAATGTATTGAGATTCAATAATACAGAGATAAAGAATTCATAACTAAAATACAAGCCAATGAACTGCTTATTTGATCCATTCACTTTATATTTTTTGACACTCAATGACTCATAGAGTCATTGATTCATTACTCCTGGTGTTATATAAATCACTTTTTGCTCAATATCCTTTCATGTTCAACATATTGTGTCTTTAATATAACAGTGAAATGGAAATATCTATCAGAAGGAAAAGAATAGCAACAGAACAACAAAGACAGCAATGGCAAAGCCTATTTCAAGACCAAATTGAAGCAAGGGGATCACTTAATAGACAAAGGTATTTGAAAACCTCACATAAAAGGCTTGAACAAATAGGACTGCAATCTAAGAAAGGTAGGAATAAAACAACTGATTAATTAAAGGGTTCATTTTGCTCAGGAACTAATTTTGTTTAAATGCAGATAAATATTTTATTTGTATAAATTATTAAAACAACTAAGGGAAGTAATCACTCATTAATTTACTAACTTAAGTTGATTTAGTTCCCTTTCCACTATAGGTAGGACAGGAAATATATAAATAAATACACCTTGTATATGGTTTGATTATTATTATACATAATCTCTTCAGACCAATGTCTTTGTTGTTATTTCAAACATTTTGTTGATTGCTCTTTTTAATGACTTTTTGTAGTTTTTTTAGACCCTGAGAAGTTTTTGAAGATTATAATGATTTACTGATACAAATAATACTAATTAACCTATATCTGAGTCAAGAAGAGGTGGATTCATACCTTTCCCAAGTGTATTTGCGTGTAAGTGAATATAACGAACCTGACTGGAATTGGAACTCAGTCAGTTATGTGCCATGTGTGATACACACTTAGACGATCATGTATCTTTTTTTACATGACTGATGAGGCAGATTTTTTCCCACAGTAGGTTGCCATTTCTTTCTGCGGTAGACCAGTTGCCATCCAAGGCTATAAAACCCGGTCTGTCCTGCTATTTACCCATAGCTGGGGGGAGAAGAAGAGGATTCATACCTTTCCCAAGGGCATTAGCACGTAAGTGTATGTAATGGATTCGACTGGAATTTGAACTCGGCTCTCTGATTCCTCAATTCAAGTTGCTATCCATTACTTCACTATGCCTACTGAAGAAAGAAATGACAACCTACTGCAAGAAAAAAAAAAAACTGCCTCGTCAGTCATGTATCTTTCAATAAATGATTGCCTAAGCATGTATCATGCATGGCACACAAATGGCTGAATTGAAACTCAGCCCCCAATTCTAAATTATGAGTTGTTGTTATTCATTACACCCCTTCACATCCAACCTTACAGCACCTGCTGTTCCTAAGTAGTCAACCATCAAGGTTCAACTTGCTCAACTACACTTGTCAATAAGAAATGATGATAACAATAGTACCGTATGACCTCAAATCTATAATAGGAAACAGATTTTTCTAAAAATATTTTCTTGTGTAAAATATAGGTAGATTTGTGTTATTTAATATATGTAAAAGTTCAAACCACCTAAAATGCAATATGATGAACCAGGAAACAATAAAATATACAGACAGATTACAGCATAAAGGAAAGAAGGCAATTGGAGTTGTTCATTATGTGTGCTACATATAGGCTTTGATTTTGTTTGTATGTTGCCTCTAAACAGAATTCTTCTATGTGCTGTGTTCCTTCAGAATGTAGGTGATGATGGCTCTCCGCAATTTCCTGTCCTTTGTAGCTCTTAAAAAAGTTTGTCTTTTGGTCATCTTTCTTAATCCCTTTTCTGCTAACCATTTCCACAAGCTCGTTAGGTAGCTCATGCATTGGTTTCCTCTGTCCCTCTTGCCTTCAATATGTCCTGGGAGTGTCAAATTTTCTAAGCTCTCTTTCTTTATTATGTACTCTAGAAATATCAACTACTTTTTACTGATGCTACATATATATGTCCTTTTTGTTTCTATTTTCTATCAAATTTCATCATTGCTCGCATGTTCAGTCCCTGTTATTCTCAGAATCTTTTTGTAAACTCACATTTCTGTTGCCTCAAGTCTCTTCTTCATCTGTGATGTTATTGCGCAATATTCACTGCCATATAGCAGGACTGGTATTACATAACAATTCAGTACACTTTTCTTTGTTTTTTACAAAATTTTCCTGTCTCTTAATAATTTGCTTAGCTTTTGGAAGGCATCTTTCAATATTCCTTTGAATTTTGGTGTCATTTTCTGTCTTAGCATTTGTTTTTCTAACTGATTAAACAGTAAAATCTGTTCACTCCTTAAAATGTATCTTTTTTTATTTAATATTTTTAATCTAATATTTTCTTCCATATTATGTATTTTTTATTTAATGCTAAAAATTTCTTTTTGAAACTGATTAAGCAGGAAAACTGTTTGTTTCCTACAATAGATTTTCTTTCAAATGTCCATTTTCAGGATTATACATTATCATTGTTCTCTATAGCTTTTTTTTACTTTAATATTTATGAATTGCCATGATTTCTAGGGAAATATATTAGAGAGGCTTCTTGTTCCTAGCACAATTTTGTAGTCACAGTAATCTTTGTCTTAAACTGATTGCTATCCAAGGCTAGAGAGCTCAATCTAGCCTGCTATTTAGGATATAGTTTGAAGGATGGAGAAGGAATGGAGTTATACTGGGTCGGTGAAAAGAAATGCTACATTGAACATTACTTATAACTTTTGATATCACCACATTTGCATGAAACAAAATATACTATGATTCCTAAAGTGGTAGAATTTCATTGCTAATTTCTGTTTTCTTTTTCAGAGGGACAAGTGTGGCCCAGAATGGTCAAATGCCTGACATGGTATGAGTGTGGTCAGCTAGTATCCTGTTATAAAGTGTGTGATAGTTTGTGGTATAAATGTAGAAATGGTGGTGCAGTGTTTGTGGACCTTGTGTTTCAGTAGATACTAAAACCATCAGAAATTTGAATTTCAAGCTGATGAGTATTGGATCTGTGGTAGATGCACACAGAAGCAGTCATCCTTCAACATCCAGATTTGAAGAAAATGTGCAAAAGGTACAAGACCTGATGAAGCTGGTTGAGGATATACCCAGACAATTACATATACTTGTGGACCATGCTGGTGTTTATATAGAATTTTAAAACTGTACTGTGCATCTACCATTATACTGCTCAAAATAAAACATGTTTTATGAAAATTGTCCAAACTATATATATATATATGTAAGCAAATATATGGATATAAATCCGACAGTATGAAAGAAAAATACAGAAAAAACAAAAATCTGAATATGCAATTATGTAGTATTAATGTTAAAATAAAGTCGACATCGGACGTTTCGGTCTATTTCGGGAAGGACTTCAAGCTTGTTGAAGAAATAAGAACCTATTGATCACTACGTATTCCGACATCAACGGAAGAGATTTCTTGAACTGTTTATACAAAATTTTTCAATCGACTTTTTAATATTTTAATTTTTTGGAAATCATCTTCGAATACGTTTTAACAACATCGCCCACGTGACGACTACGTGATCATATTTAAACGGAACGCTGATCTGTATAAAATTTCAGTTATCTGTTTGGATCAGTTGGGCTCTTATGTCCATCGTCTTTTGTGTTAAATTTTTATAAGTTCTAATGTTAATTATGTTTAAATGAAAATGTCCATGAAGATGGTCTTAAATAGACCGAAACGCCCGATGTCGACTTTATTTTAACATTAATACTACATAATTGCATATTCAGATTTTTGTTTTTTCTGTATTTTTTTTCATATATATATATATATATATATATATATATTACATAAATCATTCATACAAAAAACAGATATAGAAGTTAATGACTTAAATTTTTTTTGTATGAATTTTGTATGAATGATTCATGTAATGTAAATTGAACTGCACCACATACTTGATATATATATATATATATATATATATATATATAAAGTTGTAGCATCTGTTTGTTTGGGAGGTAGATGACATAACCATATATATTCTGAAACTACATTAGCTAGGATACTTGGGTAAGTATATTTCATTTTGATTAAAGGGGCTCCCCCATCACAAACACCCTACTGAAAATTTTTTCTCTTTGGTTGAAATTAAATTTAAATTTGAACAAGAGAATGACTCCTGTCCAAAATATAGAAGGAGAAAGCCAGAAGATGGAGGTCACATCAGTAAGAACATTGAGTAATATTGAAATGCATCATTTTTCTCCACAAATCATAATGATTTAAAATCAACCATCATTTTCTTACAAATGTGTGACACGTAGCAAGGTGCAGGTAATTCAGCTAGTAATTAATAAAGTTATTAATAAGTTTAAATAGGGAGTTCTTTCCACCCACCCAGGTACATTTCTCAAGGGTATTAGTGCCAAAGTGAAAGTTACAGACGAGACTAGGATTTGAACTCTGCTTGCCAAATTCATTTTCCATGTTGATAACCAATATGCTTCTTGCATATTGCTACTATGCACATTTCATACTAACAACAGATGATGCACATTTTTAAATCATTTATTTATATGCATCTTTGATTAACCAAGGCATCTGTTTAATTAAAGCAAATTAACTCTATGTGTTTATATTAAATTTGTAAAATCCTTACCTGAACAGACTACATTGTGTGGATAGTCACATCTGTTAATCTTGGAATTGAAATTCAGTTTCTCTGGACACGTTTTGACGAATGTTTGCCAGTTGCTACATTGAAGGAATAGGTTGCAATGATAGGGATGTTCATACATGCCATCTTCTTTGAAAAGGCAAAGACCTGTTGGGAATAAAAAAGAAAGGAATTAATAAATGTTTTCTCTTAAATCTTTAAAAAGTTTAAATTTTTGTTCTTGTATTTCTTTCATGTTAATTTAAATTGCTTTTCGTTGTAGCAACTCAAACAGTCAAACTTCATCTGTGAGTAAACAGCAGGAATTAGAAATGAAGCTACAACATGCTGGTCTCATGAGCAGATATTTGGCATTTTTAAAACATTTTCCAAGTGATATGTGCTATATCTAGTCTGAAAGTTGAGAATGTCAGGATTTTAGAATTTACCTAACCTTGTCCCATCTCAAAGTATTTGTCAAGTCATGATCATTTCAAGTTAATCAAAACTCATATATGTCAACTGGCATAAAAGAATTTGATGAACCTTTTGGTTAATGTTAAGATTAAATTCCTCCTCACCCAATAAAGCATCACAATGACAAATATATTCCCCAGTTGGCTTGCAAACAAATATTTGGCATTTTTGGTACATTTCCTAAGTGATATGTGCTATATCTTGTCTGAAAGTTCAGAGTCTCAGGATTTTCGAATTTACCTAACTTTGTATTAACTCAAAGTATCTGTCATGTTATGATTGTTTGAAACTAATCAAGACTTGTACATGATTAATCATTTCCTTTTTAAGTAAAGTTGGCTCTGTGTTGTGCCAGAAAGTTTTTCTTGTCTGAGTCTACCCTTCAAATCTATAAATCAATCATTCATTCTTGCATAGAATATTGCTGTCATATAAGGTCTGGTGCTCCCACTGTACGTCTCGAGGTCCTTGACAAAATCCAGAGACGAATATGCAAGATGATAGGTCTTGATTTGGCATCTAGTCTACAATTGCTATCCCACAGGCATGCTGTGACCTCCCTCTGTCTCTTCTACAAATATACTGTTCCACTGAGCTACTGTCACTGGTTCCTGGATTTCATGAATTTAACTCACCCTTTCACAGTCAAAACGGTTAAACATAATTGTCTCATCTTCTCAAACAGCTTGTTCTCCTGCACTTCCCGTCTATGGAACTCCCTTCCCCTTACTTGCTTCCCTGATGACTATAATCTCAAATATTCAAGTATAATGTCAATCGCCATCTGACATACTGAGCCTATTCCCTGTCCTCCTTTCCTCAAATACGCCTCTTTACTCTTGTTCTCAATCCTCTGTAACCTCTTGCATGCTAGTGGCACTCCCGCCTTGCTTGGGGTGAATTGCCTTGAAAAAGAAAAAAAGATGATCAGTTTTAAATAGTTGATTTTTCAGCCTCTTTTTGCTAGGAAAATCATTGGAATCTGGAATGAATATTATAATTTGCGGATAAGTTTAACTTAAGACTTTAAAGAAATGACCCGAGGCAAGTGGATTTTGAAGTCCCAAACCACACAAAATTCAGTCAAATTAACACAATTATTTGCCATATTTTGCCTACTTTTTTTCTCTTTGACCCCCTAATTTCAAATAACAGAACAAAAAATGACCAAGACAAAATTTTTTCTCCTTTTTAGTCTAAGTTCCCAAATATGAAAACAATTTAAATCTGCAAAATGGAACAAGATTGTTGCTAGGAAGATATTTAAAATGTACTCCATTCCTTTTGATATGTTTAAATGATCTTTATCCACTTTTGACACCAGATGCCAGGCACTAAATATTAGTTTTCAACATAACTTTCCTTGTAGTTGTCAAAAAATGATGATCTCGACCTCTATTCCAATGTTTTTGGCACTGAAAATTTCACCAAAAGAAATCTAAATTGGTTAAATACAAAATAAACTCTTTTTAGGATTTTTAGTTCTTCAATGCAGACCAGGGGTTAACATAAACCCCCATTTTTCAACTTAGAAATGTGAAAGATTTGTTTTATCTCTTATGTACAAATAACTCAATCCTACAATTGTTCTATTAAATTAAGTCTTTATTATTATTTTTTATTTTATTCTGTTAAATAAATTTTTATTATTTATTTTGTTTGCTTAAATAAATTTTCATTATTATTATTTTGTTATATTAATTAAAATTTATCCAACTTTTTTGATTTCCCTATTTGCTTTAAATGGCGAACGACTGTCGAGTGGTCGACCTCGAGTTCAACAGCAACTTCTCATGTGGTTTTGTGAGGATCGGCTTCAATTAAGGCTTTCAAATGTTCATTATCAACCGCAGTATAAACTTCTTGTTCTGTATTGTTTTGTTGAAACCATTTTAAGTGATATATTGATACCTGCTCAGTAGATATACGTACCAATCTGGTATAAATTTATTACTACTTACTCTGATCATTTAACTTCCCAGAAGAATCCATTTTGTCAAAGTGTCTAGGAGAACCTGAAAATAAGAATAGAGTTTATTTTTGATTTATTACAATTTCTGTTTTTTTTTTTTTAAATTTTATTTTAAAATATAAGCAGAAATTAAATTCTTTAAGAGTATATAGGGAACAATCACTAATCTGAGTAGCCATAAATTTGAGGTGTTGTAAAATGAACAGTCACAAATCTTTATTGTACTCTCCCAATCATCAGCACCAACTCACCTCATGACACTAAAAAATGTCAGTCTTATATAACTGTAGCTTCAGCTACAGATCGGCTATGATTCATTGATCAACAACTGCTATGCACATTAAACGGTGATGCCATCTATGTTGAGAAACTGCATTCATTTATTCAAGAGAACAACTCTTACCAATACCAAACACACCCTAGTCAATATCTTTTTGTGTTAGTCTGGTTCTCTGCTACAAAATCTTTCAAGATGTGAAAGTATTCATGGTATTTAAAGTAAAAGAAATACTAAAAATTCAATAAAACTGATTTTACACTTCAACAAGAAATAAAATAATTCAAATACTGGGTATCCATTATAAATCATTAGACAAATAGAAAAATTTATTAAAATTACAACAGCAGCTGGATACTGTTGAAATATTTACATAATATGAAATAAATAGCAAAGTTTATATACAAATAGTCAATAAATTTCTATATAGGCCTCATTTGTTGCACGAAGCACATCTAAGCAATATTCAATTCTTTAATTCTGGGAATTATTTAATTGCAGTCTTAAACATAAAAACCATTAATAAAACTATTTAAAAAAGAACTTTAATGATAACATATTAATATGCAACAAAAATTTAATTGTAACCAAAGTCTTTCATGATGACTTTTTGATTTTGTCAACACCCTGTATTTACTGCATTTCTTGGCATTATAAAAATTATATTTTTTTTCATGTAATAAGTTTGGAAAATTTACATTTTATCCTATAGGTCAAAGGTTACTTTTTTCCTGGGTCTATCAGGGTACATCTTGATGCCAGAAGTATTGTAATTTGCATTTTTGTACAAAGCAAAAACCAAAATCTGATTCTGAACATACCTATCAAATTTGGTACAACAACTGAACTATTTCTTTCTTCAGTGGAAATGCTTGGTTTTGCAGACTTCGTTGATTCATCTGGAACAAGTTAATAACAATACAAATATATTCTTCATTTGTTCAATGAGAAACAATTATAAGATATTTTACTTTCTTTCTTAGTATATTATAATGACCAAAGTTTTTGATAGGATACTGAAATGTTATCAGTTCAATTGACCTCCCAAATCTGGCACTCCTTGCTGACAACAGGTAATTCAACACAATACCGCAACCTTATTACACAGCTACCAGCCCATTCACACATCTCACTAGTGTCAATTTCAACCTTGAAGACAGATGGATCAACCCCACCAATGTCACCTCTCTCATGCTACCACATGGCTTCACTAATCCACTCCAGGCCTCTCTATCATCACCACCATGACCTTAGTTAACCAACACAACATATCTTTCAACTACCTGCCTTACCAATAAAAAAATTATCCACAGCAACTAAAGAACCTTATATCAACAATTTTGTCACCTTTTCACACAACTATGTATATTTTCTGAAAATTGATCAACACATGCTTTTGAAACTTTAATCCTGATTTGTTCTTTCCTTTACACTCATATGCTTCTTATAACATTAATTTCGCTTTACACGCTGATATCTATTACAACATTCATGCATCTAAATCTTACTTACCTTTGCAATTCACATTGGCAGGATCACTGCACATTTTGGTCACAGGTGAAAAAAGTCTTCCTCCAGGACAAATTCCAAGTAAGACTTTTTGATTAAAACACAAGATGAACATTGCACACTGATTAGGGTAAGGATACTGGCCATCATCGACACCAACACACCTCCCTGGAAAGAAGTAAACAGCCAATATTGCTTGACATGTTGGACTGAATCCTTATCCCTAATCTATAGTCTTGGGGTTCATATTTACATCCTTGTTGGTTGCTTATATCAAATCCTTGTTTTATCATATTGTTTTATTATGTTATCACATTTCCACTTAATCACCTTGTTTTATCATATCTTTCTTGATATCACATGCTTTATCACATTGTGTTATCACCTTATCACATTATCACCTTGTTTTCTCACATAATTGTTGGTCGGTTATTAAAAGCTGTTCATTTGAGTTGAAGTACAAATTCTCCATTTTCACCACAAAAAAGGGGCACATATCAACAATGAAAAAAAATAATTCCTCTCCTTTTTTTAAAACATTTCTATAGCTGTGATTTGAATTTGAACACTGGCCAATGTAAACTAGCAGTAAACATATACACAACTATATCGGCCACTAAGCAGGCTAAAATATCTGGTTTGATGAAAATAATTTAAAAAAACTTACCTTCAAAATTGGCTTGAAAATGCAATTTCTTATTTTTGCCTGAAATCAAGGAAAAGATAAAAATTCAGTTGAAGCTTTATGAAATGATAACCATCAATTCTGAAGAAAATTATCATGTTTAGCTTAGTCTGACACAAGGTTACAATGGTAGGGCACACAGTGAATATCAAATTCACTAGACTAAGAATTGTCTTAGACAATTCTTTGGTTGTGAACTATGAGGTTAGTGACTTTATTCACAAAATAGAATTTTAAAAAATTTATAAAGCATTTTCACTATTATTTCATGAGGTTCGTCTGAAAAGTTCTTGGTTTGACCATCATCTGGCTCATAGCCCACACGTACTACTTGTGACCCCCCAGACCAGTGGGGGGGGGCGGCAATGCCTTGTGACCCTCATCATCTTATCAATATTTGCTTTTTTCAAAACTACATCTATATGCATTACAAATTAAACAATGCAGAACTGACAGTTTCAGACATTATTTTGGCCTTTTTTTGGGACAACCAAATCATTTTGGGCTTTTTTCTTGAACAAACAAATTATTTGGGACGTTTTTTAGACAACCAAATCCTTTTTTATTTTTTTTTCCAAAATCTGTGAATTTTTCATGCTAAGTCTTGAAAAACACTATAGAAAATTCACAGTTTTTTATCCATAATGTTGAAATTCTTCAACTTTTTAACAAGTAAAACTTCAAGTTGATTAAAAATTGGCATAACACATTGTTGACTTAGATCTGTGCTGATCTATATTGCATACACATACGTATACACAAATAAAGTCACATACAATATCAATCATTCATTGGTTAATAAATCACCACTACGTTATTATAGATAATTTACAAATCACAGCAATGCGACAATTTTGTAATCGCTCTATTTTCATGTAGTCAATTTTGTACACTTTTGGGAGAAATGGATCACTGAAGTTTTCTTAAGTCTCCTCAAAACTTGTTTGCTGACTGATCAATGCCAACCAATCAGATTGGCTGCATGTGAAGAGTAACTTTTGCCGCGCAGTGATCTGGAGCTTATAGTCACTTATATAAGCAAGAATTTTTCTTAGCAAATTAGTGAGAATTCAGCTGCCAAATGAATCCATGACAGTTGAAACCATGTGCCAACCTTCTCACTCACACACACCACTCACATGCTGAACATTCCTTATACTCTCACATAATCTTTTCTTACACAGCAAAATCTTCTGAGAACAGTCATTATAATTTTTTTATAATATCTTTCGATACATGACTGATGAGGCAGATTTTTCCCATAGTAGGTTGCCATTTCTTTCTGCAGTGGACCAGTTGCCATCCAGAGTTCTAGAACACAGTCTCTCTTGCTATTTACCCATAGCTGGTGGGAGAAGAAGAGAATTCACAATTTTCCCAAGCACATAAGTGGATGTAATGGATTCGACTGGAATTTGAACTCAGCTCTTCATTTCCTCCGTTCAAGCCGCTATCCATTACTCCCCTGTACTCTGATTTGAAAACTGTGGAGAAGGCTACAGGAAACTACTCCACTATCTTTCTTATGACAAGTCACAGATTAGAAAGTGCAGTAATCTGTAGAGATCAATGATTGCTTGCCTCTTGAAGGCACATGACAGGAAATTAGTTTAAATTTAACAACTGACACCAAGTAAGGCCCAAGGCCATGTTTCCGAAGTATGTATTGAGACTGACCTCATTATCATTTGAAAGACCACCATATTTTCTGTATCTCTGTCATGGTGTGTTTAAGATTGACAAAAATTATAATGAACTGTGAAAAGAAGTTGAAAGCATGAGTACAAAGAAGAATTTTAAAAAAGGTTATATTCAGCCTTACTTATATGATCTGTAAGTTCCTTCTCCACTTTCAATGTGCCAGATTCCTCAAGTACACGGCCTGTAACAAAAAAAAAAAGAAAGAAAAAGATTCAGGATGAATACATTGATTTTGGAATATCAGTTCTTCTGAAGGTCTGTCAATGGTAATTAGAAGTATGAATATCAAATCAGAAATTATAGAACACACCAGAAGATTTTTTTAACACTAATGTTTACCCCATACAAGGTCCAAGAGCCAATCAAGGTAGAAGGTAACTGAATGAGGCATGGGAAATGAACATAAGTGGAAGAAATACAAAGTGATGATCATGAGTATATGGAGGATAGATAATGTTGAATCTTAAACTTCAAGAGGCTAAGATTAAAGTGTTTTTGTGGAGGTATGCACACAATAGTTTGTTCCACAAATTAGCTGTTCATGAAAAGAACTTGTCTGAGTGGAAAATATTCCTTACTAATGGTATACAGCATCTGTAGTGCAGGGTCTATAGTGAGTGAAAAATAATAATAACTCCCTTTACCCACTTCCTCCAAATTCACAGGACTGAGGATAAATATAGAAAGGAATTTGTGAGCCTATGTGAAATTTTCTTTGGACCAATGAAAACCTTGCCTTCACAGAGATTCACTAGCAAGCTGAGGAGAAGATAGAAATAAATTTGTGAGCTTATGTAAAATTGTTTTTGGATCAATGAATGTGTTGTCTTTACATAAATTAGCCATTAATCCAAGAAAAAGAAAGAAAAGAAAGTAGCAAGCCTATGTGAAATTTCTTTTGATATGAAATGAGGAGAGAAATTAAATTAATAAGAGAAGTGTGTCTGAAGTCATGTAAAAGGTTTCATTTCTGTTCACCTCGTCAGCTCACACCCAAGTGGTCTTTGTAACCCTCTTCTTCCAGTAGGTCATTTAGTCCTCATATGCAAGTAACTTTGTCTCAGTGCTTGGCACCACACCTAGGCATGATGTTTATGACTCATAGAAGAAGTTCTACTGCTTTGATTATTCTGGGTAACCGACATGTGTTCACTTATAGTGGTTTCGAGCTTAGAGGTCAAAATGAACAGTTGATTTATCTACACCAAGAAGATTAATGGAGAATGATAATGATGAGGAAAGAAACAGGTAATTTTAACAAAACAAGATAAGGAATTTATTCAAGAATTTATATGCTTGAAGTAGTGTACATAGCTCATTCCAGGAAAATAAATCAGAAATTTTTAAAGTCTGTAGTTTTAATGAATTGTCATGAAGAGGAAATGTTCATTAAACCATCTGACACAAAATAATATTCAAAAATGTTTAAAACAAAGGTAAATGAGTTTGTTGCTTGCAGAAGGGATATATGGTTGCATACATTCAAAAGTAAATGAAGAGAAATAGTTTGAAATACTTAGCTTTCTTGAATTGTTGAAAGGAAATTTTTTGAAGTGCTGTGTACTTGGTGAAAAGATTTAATTAAGATGTAATTGGTGAGTAATTTTACACTGGCAAAAGCTTCAATAAATTCCTTAAAATTACCTGTTCGTTTCCTCATCATTATCATCCTCCATTAATCTTCTTGGTGTAGGTAAATGAACTGTTCATTTTAACCCCTAACCTCAAAGCCACTATAAGAGAACACATGTCAGTTACCCAAAATAATCAGCAGAACTTCTTTGAGTCATAAACATCATGCCTAGGTGTGGTGCCAAGCACTGAGACAAAGTTGCTTGCATGTGAGGACTAAATGACCTACTGGAAGAAGAAGGGTTACAAAGACCACTTGCGTATGAGCTGACATCTCCTGCTCTGATTAATATAAATTGAAAAATAGGGAGAAACATATCAAACATAAGATTAAAATCTTACCTTGACAGTCAACATTTGCTGGAAGATCACACATTTTTAGATTTGCAGAGAAGAGAGTTCCATTTTGACATTTTCCAATGAACATATCTTGATTAAAACATAAAATGAAGAGATCACATTTTGTAGGATGTGGGTATTCTCCATCTTTCAGGCCCTTGCAGCTTCCTGTAAATTTAAGAGCAATTTTATTGCCTTTGCATCTTCACTTTAAAATTAAAAACTATATAATAGATTTATATAAGAAAGTGCTGAAAAGTTATCAGATTATCAGAAGATTTTTTTTTCAATAATTTCACCCCAAACAAGGCAATAAAGACACTAAGATGCAGGGGCTCACTGAGTGAGAATGACTATAAGAAAAAGAAAGACATTATTAAGGAGTGAAGGGAACAATAAAAGAACAGGTATTAAGAAAAAAATAACAATTGACATTGTATTTAAATTTCTGAAGATCAAACTTGACTGGAAAGCAAGAAGCCGAAACAAAGTTCCACAAGTGAGAAAAGAAACTGTTAGCATAGAATTTTTGGTTATGTCTAGTCATTTCAGCTGCAAAATGATGAGCTCTTGCTGCTAATCTAGTACTGCACTTAAATTCATAAAGTCTAAGTACCATGGAGGAAAATTCGTCAGAAAAATTACCATGAAAGTATTTATGGAAAAGGCACAGGGAAACTGCAGTGATAGGAAAGTGACTGAAGGCGAAATGCCAGGTCAAGACCAATGAAATTGTGGATTCTTCTTTGGATTTTATCAAGGATCTCTAAATATATAGCAGGAGCACTGAACCATATGTGGCAGCAATATTCAAATGATAGAATTATAAGTATGTAAGTTAGTTTCAGGTGAGAAAAAATTGTCTTGCACAATACGGTGGACCAAATTTTCTTTCAGCAGATCTAGCAATTGATTGAATATAATCTTTCCACTTCATATTAGTGGTAAACATTAGGCTGAGCAGGTGTGATGAGTCACTCTCCTAAATGTTAACATCAGACATGCTGATGGAAGATAGAGCAGTTTCATTTTGGAGGGGTTAAAATTGATAAGTCATTCCTTGCCCCAGTTAGCAACAGAACGTAGGTCATTTTTTAAATCAACTGCCAATTTGACCTTAGCAAGCCAATCAAACTTACTATTAAGACAGGAATAAATAGTTGCCATCAGCATTGTCCAGTTTTATTTTTTATATATAATGCATCAATAGCCATGCTGATGGAAGGCAGAGAGGGATCTCTTTTATGATTCTTTTCAGCCATTCCCCTATTTTAATCTTTTAAAGAGATCAAAGTATATCGTATTCCATAGTGTTATATATATTTCATATAATTCTTTTATATATGTATCATGTTAGATAATTTGTCATGCCAGAATCTATCTTACATATTTATAAATCTACCATTTGTGCATACTTTGAATATTGCTACCATTTGGTTCTTTTACTTCTGCCATATATTTAAGTGATTTTTGATAAGATGCAAAGAATCTGCAGTTTTATTGATCTTGACCTGGCATCTCGGCTTCAGTAACTTTTCCACTGTCCTAATGTAGCTTCTCTGACTTTTTCTATAAATACATCCATGCTAATTATTCTGGTGAACTTTCCTTTTTTTTCTTTAGTTTAATTCCTCATCCCCTTCCTCATTAAGTGGTCAGTGATGTCAGTTCTCTGGTGGGTGCGGAGCGCCTTTCATTTCGTGTGTGTTTTTCATATTTGTTGTGTCTGTTTGAGTGTGTGCTCGTGTGAGTGCTTGGGATGAATGAATGTTCTATATTATTATAGTCCTGCATTGATTTCATCCAGTTAACTGATGTTTCTGCCACATTTAAGGATCGTGGGGTTTTTGATGACTAACATTATTTTGTTTAGTTTCTTGTAAATAGATTTGTATTCATATTGTAAATACACATTAGGATTAGTTTTTAATTGTTGTGTTTTATTTCCCCTCCCCCAACAGACAATGAATTGTACATATGGGGACTAGTTAGGATTTTCATAGAGACAATGAGGTATTATGGTGCATGTAGTAAGAAAGGTAAGTAAGAATGTGTTTTGGTGTTAGGAATATTGTTTGTATGTTTGAGTCAGTGTTTGAGGTTAGCTAAGTTTAAAGTTAAGACAGAAGAAGACCATCCTTTTCTCCAATCCCCATTTTTGGCCTTGTGCCACATTTCTGTATATAGCAGAATAAATATCACTTTCCTCTATGGTACCTACACTTTATGAATTTATTCACAGTTAGGTCTCATCAAGTAACTATAAGTTTTATGCTAACAGTTTTTTCTCTTGCTTTTGGCTTCTTACTTCCCAGTCAACTTGATCTTCAAAAATTTAAATGCAATGTCAATGGTCATCTTTCGTCTCTTTAAATCCTGTTCTTTTATTGTCCTTTCTCCTTAATAATGATTTTTCTCAGATTCTTCAGTAACTCCTTACATCTTAGTGGCTTTATTGCCTTGCTTGGGGTGACATGATTAAAACAAAAATTATAAAATAAAGTGTATTCCAATAACTTTGACCGATTTTAAATGTGACTTAACTTTAAGCGTCTAATAATTTTTTTCTTTTTCTTTCAGATTTAACAACTTAAGTCTTTGGCAATTTCAACCATGGAAAGATTAACAATTGGAACACCCTTTATTATCTGTGCATTTTGGTGGAATACTTACCTTCTAAAGTTGGTTCTCTTGTTGATGGTGATTTGTCTGTTGTGGGAGAAGCTTGTGGGGTAAAAACCCTTTCTTCAAGCGTGCTTTTAGCTAATAAAATAAATAAAACATGGTGTTTAATAGGCAAAATTTTATCTTTTTATTGATGAAATGAAGTAAAGAGATAACTGAAATTCTGAAACAAAAGCTTGTCACCTGTCTATATTTCTGAGATGAGGTATTGTAACTATTTACACTAACTACATCATTCAGCTGTCCTAGGTATGATGATAAACTACATCTCGCAGCAAGGCCTCTGATTGGAATGTTTTGAGGAGCATGGAACCACCTCTTAATTGCTGTTGTTCCCAGGTCCAACTTGACCCAAGGTGGTAGCATCTATTAGGGTCCCAGCTATGAACAAATAGTTAACCCACGAACTGGGGTCAAAACACTATGAAAGTATAAAAATTATATATTAAAATACCAGCGATACATTTTCACAGAAAAAAAAATTACCAGCATATTTGTTAAAGAAATTAATAATGCTCCCAAGAAAATTAAATTTTGCCATTAAATGAACCATAAGGAGTTAATATGCTGCTAAACAAACAAATAAACTAAATTGTTTGGACTGTCATTTTCATCTTTATTGCCATATTCACATCAGTTTGGCTGTTGTATGCTCCAGCCTTCTTCAGGTGATTTATGTTGGAATTTTGAACCAAACCCTTTATTTTTAGGAAATTAGAACAATCTAACCCTGTAAACTAAATAAAGGATTTGGTTTGAAAGGCGGGGGTGTGAATATAGCAATAAAGATGAGGAAAATGGTTTGAATGATGTAAGTAGTGTAAAAACTTGTTATTCATTAATTCTTATTTTGGCTTTGATTCTCATTTTTATTTTCACCTGGAATATTCTCTGACCATTCTCAGGTGTATAATCCTTGTGTGTTATCCAAATTGTTTTTCTTTACTTCAGTTCTTACCATTTTCTTCATTTCTTCAATAAGAGCATAAATTATTTCAAGCTAATATCAATAATTTATCTGGATTGAGAATGTGCATGTTTCCCCAAATAAATTAGATTAGTGAGGTGTCATGCCACTTAATTCCTCTACATGGTTCCCTCAAGATCATGGGATTAATCTGACAGTATCCATCTGTCCTCATGTGACACATTGTACTAGGTTATATGGTAAAAGTAGCAAGAAAAATCCATGAACTGGCATATTATTAAATGCCTATGATGGATTGCCTTTGTAATGTTATCATTGAAAAGACTAATAGGAACATATAATTTTCCTAAAATACATCTGTTTCATGCTTTGTCACACATCATTAATGGTGCTACTAGCTGAGGATCATTAAGGGTTTCTGGTCTTACAACATTAAACCCTTTCACCACATTGACCCAGTTGAGTGGATATAGATATATGTGTCATCCATCAGCTACTACTCTTCTCATAGCCCACTCTCCTAACCCACTGCAACTGTTCAGGCTTTTATATTCCAGTCACAAGCAATTTACAGTTCACCAGCTTCTTCAATCTTCCATAAAAAAGGAAGAAATACAGTAACCATTTTCTTAGCAAATATGGTGACACTCTTCACTTGAAGTATTAAGAAATGATCTTTTGTTTCAATCACTGATAAAAAAAAAAAAATACAACACTATCCAAAGATAATTTACTGTCTTATCTTATTTTTCACCCTAATCATGCTAATCACTCAATCAACACCAAAAGAAAAGCCCCCCCCCCATGTGTTTGTTGGGTGGAGAAAAAGAAGATGAAAAACATAACCCAGGTGAGGTGGCAAACAAGTGCTATATCTTAGCCAAAGATCACCAGAAAGTAGCAATGTTTAAGGGTACCCAAATTATGTTCTCTAGTTAAGACTACATTATTAGATGTGGTTTTAAGCCATACCTAAGAGCAACTTTCTAATCCCTTAAAGAAACCCCAAAACCTCAACAGTGACTAAATCTCTCATAAATTAAATTATTGTTTATTCATTCTGAAAAGTGTGTGTCTTTGGAGGTTTTTCCAAACATAGATCATCATCTTGCAAGAATGTGAGAGACTTTCTGTTTTTTCTCTTTAGGATGGGACACTTATATGTCTTCTTGTTATCTGATTGTCCCATATGTGCACATCCTAAGTCAATTTACATGTCAGGGGCAGTGACTGATATCCTGTGAGAAGCAGATCTGCTGGTGTCTATGAGTTCACTTTCCAAGTCAACTTTCTGATGCACCTGACTGCTCTGATGTGACATTGAGTCTACATCTACTTAAGTATCTCTTTTGTTGATCCCAGTGCATATTGGGATCACCACAGATCAACTTCTTTCAGAACAAAGATTCCTTCTTGACATTAAAATGCAACAACTTATTTTCCAATCAGCAAGCTCCACAGACACTACTGATAAAAGCATATTGCTAAACAATCTTAATAAAATAAAAGTGTATAATCCTTTTATGTAGTTGGCCCCAAACTTTTTCATACCAGTGTGTACATATATATATATATATATATATATATATATTGAATAATACTTTTATACAGACGTTATGCAAAGAGCAAGACTGCTGATTGTCACTTGAAATTAAGTTGAAAGTGACAATCTATATAATACTAAAATACTGTGATTATATGCATGCTTGTGTGGTGCGTCCATTTGGCACATAATAATTTAACTTAATCCAATTTAAGTGAATAAGATTTCAAAATATGAGTCATTTAAACGGTAAGTAATTTTTTTTAACCCTTTTCAAACATACAATTTTTTAGTTAAAATATTTTTAAGTTAAAGACAGACACAAAGAAATCCCGCTTTGCTGTTTCATCCATTTGTTTGTAAAGTAATTATTTATATTTCAGTTTTCTTTAACATTTTAAAAATTTAAAAGTTATTTTTAAGTTAATCTGATTTAAAGAATATTTTAAGTGAATAAGATTTAAAAATACGAGTTGCTTATAAAGTACTTTTATTTCAACTTTCTTCCAACAGACAATGTTTTTAATGTTGAAATCAAGTTCAATGTTTTATAACATGAACTATCAGTGATCCCTCCGGTCACAGGTAGTCTAATATAAACTAAATTTGTCTCCAAAAGATAAATACTGTATAATGATAGATTTTAAATGGAATATCTAAATAGTTATTTCTTACCTTCACAATTGACTTCAGAAGGATTAGTACATGAATTTAGTACTGTAGAGAAGAGCTTATCTCCAGGGCACTTTCCAATAAATAACCTTTGTTGGAAGCACAAGATGAAAAAGTTACACTTTGTAGGATGTGGATATTCTCCATCTTTAATGCCTTGACAGTTTCCTGAAATTCAAATGTAGAATTGACATTGAAGAAAGGGGACACTCAACTGAAACATGAAACAGTCTATATTAACAAAGGTGGTGCTGAAAAGTTATCACCCAAATAAAAACAAATGAAAGAAATTATTGTTTAGTAATTTGGTCAGTTTTGGGAAGTAACTTGAACTGAGAATTTCAACTCTTTCTCTATACCAATGTTTAGTGCATCAGTCTAAAGGGACTCTGGTTATACTTGAAATTGGCTTTTATTGAATTTATGTGGGGAATCTTTAGTAAAAGTTGCCTTTTCTTCTAGTTTGCTGAATAAGAAAATTTCAGCATCCTAGAGATCACCAGTTATTTATCATGTGCTTGTTTCCAAACACTAACTTTCTGAAACATATATATTTACAAAGGGATAAAAACTGTTACCTTTTTATGTATCTTTCCACAAAGGGCTAAAAGCAGTAAATTTTTTAAGCATCTGCCCACAAAGGGCCAAAAACTGTCACCATCTTAAGTATTTTCCCATAAAGGGCTAAAAGCTGTCACCTTTTTAAGAACTACCTACAAAGGGTTAAAACTCACCTTCTTAAGGATCTACCCATAAAGGGCCAAAACTGTAAATTTCTTAAGCATTTACCCACAAAAGATTAAAAGTTGTCACCTTAAACATCTGTCCACAGCATTTAATTAAGCACAGTAAATATTATACAAAAAAATAAATCTCTTTAAAAACACATTTTTAAATGATTTAGAAATTGGCAATAATAATTGATTATTTGTTCTATGATAATCCATTTATGTTGGAATTGTTTTTATAATGACATGTCTAACTTTAAACAACAATATAATACTGATGCATACAAAAGATTTTGTTAACAATAATTCATTTTATAGATTTCTACTCACCTTCCAATGTAGGTTGTTTGATAGAAGGTTTTACATGTATTTCTGGGACAATTGGGAATTGTGGCTTCTTAGCTGAAATCATAAAGGATACAAAATTGAATACCCCTTTGCTTAATAAATGTTATTGAAATTGTGAAATGAAAATTTCATCATTAATTACTTGCTTAAATTTTTATGACAAGTCTGAACATGTCCTGATTGTAGAGAAGAAGGATGATTGGTGAGACGGTCCCGGGGATGGAGAAACACCGGTCTTCACCGGCAGTGTATAAATACGGCTGGTCTTGGACTCTGGGAGGTGAAGTCAACTTTACACTGATATCATCCAAATTGGTAGTAAGGAGCCCAATCTCTGGTAATGTTTAGTAAGACTGCTCTGATCACCAGTCACATAATATTGAGGATCTTGCAGTACCATGACATGCATAGATACATGTCTCTGCATGCACTTCTGGTAGGCAACCCTGAGGTAAAACTATGTTGTAGTTTGCACCAACTTCCAGCCAGTTTTTGTTGCTTTAGATGATCCACAACAACAATTGTTCTAGGCCTCTTCCATCTTAAAACATAATGACCAATGCAATAAAACAAAATAAAACTAAACCAATTTCAATAGTAGATAGGTTGACCTATCGTCCAGTTCAAACACCTCCCTGGTCTTTTGAACAGGAGTAGAGGTTTACCCATTGTTTCCTGTTTAGGATTGTGTTTCCAGTTCCTTCTAAAATGTTCTTATTCTCTTTTACTTCCAGTAACACCTTGCATCTTTGTTGAATTATCACCTTGTTTGGTGTGAATTGATTAAAAAAAAATAAAAGGAGTCATTTCCTAGTTATAGACTTCATAGATTTTATATTATATTTGCAAATGAATAATGGGAAATTACTTTGTAATTAATCAAAATCCAACGACATACCAAATTTAAAGTTAGCTTTACTTGTATTCTAACCAATCCTTAATCAGTAGAAGTCTAGTGTTAAATAATTTTTGAACATGCATGCTTACAATTTAAAAAAAATAAAAGATTAATATCATTTACATAAAATAATGATGCCCATGATATAATGATAGGTTTATAATGATTTGTGAATAAATAAAAGGAGACTACACTATAATTAGCAAAACTCCAACTATATTTCAAATTTAAAGTTAGCTATACTTGTACTCTGACTAATTCCTAATCAGCAGGAGTCTAGTGTTAAATGATTTGTTAATATATAAGCTTAAAATTTCAGAAAATTCTCTTTTGTAATAAAGTTCAGAAATCTTTTTTGAAGGATGCTGAGAATACAATGGATGGAGCATGTGAGCAATGAGGAACTCTTAAGGAAAATAGTGACAAAAAGGGCACATACAGTTAGAACCAGAATGATATAGTTGAAATTTTGGGGAAGAATAATGAGAAAAGAGAGCTTGAAGAATTTGACACTAACAGGACATATGGAAGGCAAGAGAATCAAAGGGAAACAGTGACCAACATAGTTAACAAGCTTGTATAAATGGATAGCAGAAAAGGAATTGGGAGTGATAGTCAAGAGACAAATTTTGTTTATAATTACAAAGTATAGGAAGTTGTGGAGAGCCATGATCGCTCATGTCCTGATGGACATGACATATAAAAGAAGATGCTTTTGAAAGGGATTTCACAGAAGTCTTTCTCTGAAATAACTGATGGCTTATTCAAAATTTTATGATGTTCGGTAGTGGGGGAACGAAGCAAAGAATTAAGATAACAGGGCTTACCATGAAGCTTGTGCAAATGGATGGCAGAACAGGGGTTGGAAGGGATAACAAGGAGACAAATATTACTTTACAAACCAAAGGAAGTTGTGGAGAGCCATGACCTCCCCAAGACAGGAAGGGATACAGCATATAAAAGAAGAAACTGGCATGTGAGCAAGGAGAAGTGGATTCATGCCTTTTTTGAAGGCATTGATGTAAAGTAAATATAACCATTCCCATTTTAAAGGCAACAATTCCATTGTCATTATTTATAATTTACATCAGCATTTCTCGATTGTTTTACCTTTGTGGAAATCTTGAAATAGTTTTCATATCTCAGGATACCACTGCATAGAAAATATTATATACCCTCATTAATATTGATCTGTTTTATATTTTTATCATAGTTTACATAGTAAATGTAATATACTTTTTTTTCAGATAACTGGTTTAAGTAAAAAATGACTTCATTTTTTGCCAAATTTATTGGCAATGCAAAACTAAAAATCATATTTGTTGCTTATGAAACTTCACACTGAGGTTTGCATTCGCAAAAAAGTCTGTAAACATGCAGCGAGGTGACTCATTTATGTAGGAAGTCATAAAGACTATAAATAACTACAGGCAGTTGAGTGCATACTACTTTCTGGGGGTAACATTACACTACAATGGCATTACTAATATCTAAAGAATCAGATGAAAAATTATCACTTGATAATTATGAATATGCGCAAACATGGCTTAGGATGCTAGCAGTTAAAGCTCGGAAAGAAAATCTACAAGATTTAAAATCAGTTAGAAGAGAAAACCAAATAACTGATCTCTCCTTGGCAACTGCTGCTTGTGAGACCATTATAAAAGTATCAACAATTGCATACCCAAAACAGTTGGAGGAAATGACCTTTGATGATATAAGCCAACATGAAAAACATAGCACTCAAGAAAAAACTAGTGAATGCTGAGAGAGTTAAGCTTATGAGTATTTCTCAAAAAAATGAATGAACCAGTTATTGAATATGATCATCGTTTAAAATAGGCCACTAAATATTGTGAATTTGAGAAACTGAGATCGGAAAACCAGTCAATCAAAGAAGATTTGATCTAAATGAAATTGGTAAATGGCCTTCAAAATGAGTAGTATCAGCAAATGTCTCTAATGCATTTACAGCTAAAAACAGTTGTCACTAGAACAATGTGTTGAATTTGTTCAGCAACAAGAATTGGAAAATTCAATAGAACAAATATTATGGATCTTGTAGAGGAAATGGACATGTACATTATAAAGAAATAAGTTAAAATAAGGTGTACTTTTTGTGGATACCAACGTGAAAAAGAAAAAGAAAAATGTCCAGTATATAAAAAAATTGTGAAAAGAATTTCAAAATGAATCATTTTAAATGTATGTGTAAATCCAAAAAGAAAAATGTAGAGATGGTCCAACAAAATGAAGAGGAAATAAGTATGGATGTCTTTTCTTTGAAGAAAAAAATGAAAAAGTATTATTAAAAATTCGAATCAATAATGTATTTTTGGACATGCAACTAGATACGGGAAGTGATGTAATGTTAATACCCAGAAATTTCTGGAAGAAAATAGGAAAACCAAAATTAAAGAAAAGCCTTGTTGAGTTGAATCAGTTCAGTGGATTTGTGATAAAACCATTAGGCTATTTGAAAGCCTATGTGGAACTAAAAAATAAGTTTGATGTATTACCAGTTATCATGGCAAACTGTGAAATGAATCATGGTCTAATAGGAAATGATGTATTGAACATAAATTCGACAAAATTAGTAAACAAAGTCAAGGCAGAAGTAACAGGAATGTTAAAAACTATGAAGCAAAGTAAAGACTAAAAGAAAATGTCTCCCCCTCATATTTTGATGCATGAAAAGTGCCAGTTCATCTGCTACTAATAGTTGTGGAAAAACTAAAAAAATTACTGGAACAAGACCTACTTGAATGAATTCCACCAGGAGGGAGCAAATATGCTTTTTTGTTCATAATTTTAAGAGAGAAAGATAGGGATCTCTTCATTTGTGGTGACTACAAAATAGGGGTAAACCACAAAATATGTGCAGACTCATATCCTATCCCTAATGTAGAATGGGCTTTGAACTCCCTTGCGTATATGAAAACATTCTCTAAAATTGAGCTAAAGTCAGCATACCATCAAATACCTATTGACACAGACTTTAAAGAAGTCACAACAATAAACATGCTAATAGGATTATTAAGATTGAAAAAGATGCTGTATGGAATTAAAACTGCAAGTGTGATTTTTCAAAGGGCTATAGAGCAAGTTATTGGTAGCAATATAAAAAATACAATATGCAATCAGGATGACATTTGTGTTGGTGCCATTAATGATGAAGAACTAAAATGGATGCTAGTATGGTTTTGAATAAGTTTAAAAAATGCTGGATTAGCAATTAATGAAAAAAAATATGTGCACAACAGTAAAAAAAATATCATTTTTGGAATATTCCATATCTAACAAAGACTGCCAGACCACTTGTTAAGTAACAAAATATTAAAAGTTGAAGTATCTATGAACAAAAAGAATTGGAATCTTTCTTAGGACTTGTAAATTTCTTAAGATGATATGTAGAGTGATACGCTGAATTTACAGGACCTTTTTGCTGCTTTAAGAAAAAAGAATGTGGAATTTATTTGGTCAAAAGAACAACAAGTGGTATTTGAAAATTTGAAAGGAAATAGCAATAACAACTGATGCAAGTGAACACTCAATTTCAGGAATATTAGCTCAGGATGGTCATCCTATTATGTATCTTTTGAGAAAATTGTCAAAAGCTGAATTGAGCTACTCAAATGTTGAAAAAGAAGCGTAGCACATAATATGGACAACAAATAGAGCTTGTCGGCTTTTGATTGGAAAGAAATTTCTATTAAGTTCCGACTATAGACTTTTAGAATTTATATTTATTCCTAGGAAGGAACTTCCTAAGGTTACGTTGTCTAGAATTTTAAGATGGGCCTTAATGTTAATGGCGTTTGACTTTGATATTGAGTACATGAAAGACAATATCATTCTTTATGTATATACTTTGTTGAGACTGAAGTTTATTACTTCTGAAAGTGAGAAAGAGGAGGAAAAATTCAAAGATAATTTCTTACACTGGGTCGAAACTGATATTTTGTCAATAGACAAATTAGCTGAGGATACGAAGCGAGATCCCAAATTGAGCAGTACATTGTTCAGGATAAAGAATAATAAGTGAAATAATTGCTCATAGGAAGAAAGGCATTTTAAAGAGGTTAGATACAAGTTAACCATAGAAAATGGTGTAATTTGTAATGGAGACATAGTGGTTCCACCTGAAAGGCAAAGGAGCAAAGTTATAAAAAATATACATTATGATGTTCATTGCAGAGAGATTAAGGAGATTAAGGCTAGAGGCATGGTGGCCAGGCTATTCTACAGATGTAAAAGAATACATAAAGAGGTGTAAATTGTGTGATGCCAGAAGAAATTTTAGACAGATAAAAACGTGGCCTAAAGAGTCCCAAACTTGGGACAGAATACACGTGGATCATGCCATGTTATGCCAATGATTGAACAAAATTGGATGCAAACTATATACCCCCCCCCGTACCATCTGCAATCAAACAGATTAGCAGAAAGGATGATGCAAACTATAAAAAACAGGTTTAAAATATTTTTACAATGGAAAGAAAAGATAGAAACATTTCCTAGATTGTTGCTAAGCTATAGGATAATACCACATGCTAGAAGATCAAAAAGCCCATCCAGCCTCATGGGTAGACAAATTAGAGCTCCATTGGTCATGTCCTATGCTACCAATGAAAAACTATGGTACAAAAAGAATAGTGAATCTAATGTACAAGTGGCAAGATTCATAATGCAAAGTGGACAGAACACTATGATAATAGAAAAGAATGGAAATGGGATAATAGCGCATACAGACCAAGTTAGATTGCAACTTGATAGCGATGAAGAAATGTACAGTGAGCCTGAAAATAATAAAGATGAAAGGGTCATGTCAAAGCAAGACAAACTAGACAGTGAAATCAAGAGTGATATAGATTCTGAAGAGGAACAAGGACAATTGCTGGAGGAACACTCCCATGAAAGATCCCCACCCGCATCTAGACAATCTCTTAGAAGGAGGAAGGAAGATAGTGAGGAGACAAAAGCTCCCAGAAAAAGTTTAGTTTAGTTTTAGTTTAGTTTTTCCTTCCACTTGTGCTGTTAGGCATTGCAGGGAGACACAGTTGTCTATCAGCAGCAATGCGAGTGGCCTGGAGGAGAGATATCTCATGAGCTCTGAGAGTGTCCACCACTGAGTTGCTCCAGTGGCTTCTTGATCTGCCTCTCGCTCACCAGGGCTGGTTGGTTGATAGTTATATGAGTGAGTGAGGAAGAAGTACCAGAGAAAATAAGGGGATAAAACCACATTGGTACAGGGAGATTAGATGACTCATTTACATAAGAAGTCATAAAGACTATAAATAGCTACAGCTATTGCCCATGAGGCAGTTGAATGCATACTACTTTCCATGAGGCAGTAACATGCACAAAATATAAAAATAAGTAACCAATGTCTGTATAATTTATTATAATAATCATGATTTTACAACAATATCCATACATGTATAGTAAAATTAAAATATAAAATTAAACAACAATTACTCAAAAATGCATTTAGCCTATTTATCACTGTTTCTTATGGAACCCCTAGTAACCTCTTGTGGAATTGAAAAGTTCTGGGGAACACTTGTGGAGAAGCACTGATTTACACTATTTATAAACAGAAATTCATTGTCAGTGTTGTCACTCAGACCCTCTGTAAAAAAAAAAAAAATATAAGCAGATCAAGCAATTAAAAATTTGATTGTTCATTTTTTTAAAATATATTTTTGCATGCTTTTAAATTTCATAAACTTAACTTACATGCAACTGACGTTGTTTCCACTCCACTTGTGCTTTTATATGCAAGCCGATCTGTCAAGAAAAAAAAAAACTGTTGTATATACGATTTATGATTGATCTGAATAATTTCAGATGAGATGTTGTAAGAGAAACATGATAAAAACAAAAAACAAATAAATTAGTATAAAGTAAAGAAATTACAGTAACTACCACTTATTTATAACCATATAAAAAACAAGACATAGAACTTATATAAGATTTGTTTAGTTGATTATGTTTAGCGACATATCAACACCTATTATTTAATGCTGAAATCTAAATATTTTGAAGATAGTTTTATGCTTTCAATTAAATATATTTTGAATGCAATTGTATACCTGCAGCTATTTTCAAATGTCAGTTTCTTTATAGTATTTATATCTTACAAGTGAGTACATTAAGTAAGTACATCTTGGCATGTTGTACATGTTGGTTGATTTTCATTCTTCAGCAAGTATGAATGTGAGATATGTGTGGCCTATATAATATCAAATTTAAAAAAAAAATTCCCTGGTTAGCAAAAAAAATTTGCAGGTTTATCTTTAGTTGGGTGATTTTGTTTAGAACTATATTGACTTCTATGGGTTATTTAATGGAGAAAACTAAATATTTTGAACACAATTTTATGGCTTCAACTAAATATATTTTGAATGCAATTGTATATCATCAACTACAGATATTTTATATCATCATTTTACAGTTTTCAGCGTAACCATATGCTTTATAGATATATAAAGTATGTACATGATCTGTTGTAGGAGTTATATCTTTTGGTATAAATCTATTTCTTTAAGGTAGGACATTATGTTGACAGTTTCAGTATTTTTAACCTTTACCACACTGTAGGCGACAATTGTATTTCTTTCATTCTCCAATGTTTTGAATTCAGAATTGTCTTCTTCTTTGATTGGTTGTTTTACCAATGCTAAAGAAGGCAAACTTCCTTGCTATTTAACCCATAGTTCAGGGAGAAATGAAGAGATGGACTGATGTCTTTCCTAAGAGTATTAAAGTGAATTGAATACATAAACCTCTGTAGAAATTTCAACTGTTTACTGGTTTCATTTTCTACAGCAATATCCATTCTACAATCTGTATATTCAAAACTTTTGAGCAGCATTTCATATAATGCCCAAGTTAAACAAAAATTCCCTATTTAGCAGAAAAATTTAGAGGTTTTTTTTTGATTGGATGATTTTATTTAGCACCGCATTAACCTCTATGGGTTATTTAATGCTAAAATCTAAATATTTTGAATACAATTTTTTGCCTTCAACTAAATATATTTATACTTTCAGAGTAACCATACACTTTATAGATATATAGTATGTACATAATCTGTTGTAGATGTTATATGTTTTGGTATAAATCTATTTCTTTAAGGTAGGACATTATGTTGACAGTTTCAGTATTTTCAAATAGTTTTTTCATATTAGTTTCCTTGTAGTATTTATATCATACAGGTGAGAGACATATCAGATAAATATCCCAACAATTTAGGATTTTATATACAACCTATATATATTGGTGGTCTAAGTGATAGTCAAGATTCACTGGTGGCTATATAACCACAATTATATAATGACAAAAAAGTGGCTCACTTAAGCATGTTTCTTCAGTTCTACAAAGGTATTAAATATGATGGCACATTTTAATGATAAATGACATATTTTGGTGTATTTAATAATAAATGTTACTAAATGAAAACTTTAATAAACAAATTCTGTTTTAACTGAAAAATACGTATTAAAATAAAACATTCTGTTTATTTCTTCATATTCAACAAAATAAGATGAAAGAAACTGAATTTAGTGCAAAATTAATAATGACAATGTTTATTATAAGAAATTTAAACAAATTAAGACTACTTTGTCACACACACATGCACTCACACACATAAAAATACACACACACACACACACACACACACACACACACACTCAAAGAGGTACAAAATCACCCTAATACCAATAACTAGCATATAAATTAATTACATTAAACTTAGTATAAAGATAATGATAAATTGAGAAAGAGGGCAGTTAACTGCTGAAAGCTTGTAATGAGTGAACTAAGAAATTAAAAAAGACATTTGCCTATGAAACTCTAGAGTTGAGTTGCTGAATATAACATCAATTAGCTCAGTGATAAATTTTATTTGTATTAATTATATATATATATATATATATATATATATATATATACATACCAACAATATTGAGCTAAAAGTAAAAAATGAATTACCTGAGGTGTTAGTATAATTAATTTTATCTTGCATTTGTGTGTGTGTGCGTGTGTGTGGATGTTTGTAGCCTAATAATTAAACATGTATTTATTTCACAGAAAAAATATTTATTTTTTCACATAAGCTTTCATTGTCAATGTACTTAATTCAGTGGTGAATATTAATATCATAGATTGAACATTATATGGTGAAAATTTCACATCAAATATATATATATAATATATATATATCCTTCAGATATATATATATATATATATATATATATATATAGATATATCCTTCATAACAATGAAGAACACACTAAAAATCTCGCGCATCTATTCACAACAAGTGGATATAAACAACACCTAATCAGGGAACAAATAAATAAAGCAATTTTCACACCTAGAGAAGACACTCTAATGTATAAAATTAAAAATAAATCCAGGCGCATCCCTCTGGTAAACCCTTTCAACCCCACTCTTCCTCCACTATCTCAGATAATCAAAAGTTACTGGTAAATACTACATCTCAAACCAGACCTAAAAACTTTGTTTGAGTGTCTGGCCTTCTAGCATTTTTAGACCTAAGTACCTTAAGGAGATTATAGGTAATAACCGAATTTCAGATGAAAAGGTAACCTGTAATAAACCAAAAATAAAAACAACAGGATTTTTCCAACCATGTAACAACAAAAGGTGCCTATGTTGTAACCACATTAGACATACCAATTCGTTCACTAGCTCAGTCACTAAATCTACTTTCAAAATTTACCACAACTCTAACTGTAGAAGTCATAACATAATTTACTAATTAGAATGCACACTATGCCAGAAACAATATGTGGGAAAATCTTTCCCACAGAATTAATAATTATCTGAATTGGATCAAGTCGGCTATCCACGAAAGATTATTACCTGTAGAACAACATTTCTGCCAAGAGAAACATGATTTTAAAAGCCATGCAAAATTCACTATAATTGAAAAAATAGACAGAAAAGATAACCTTAAAAAAATACTAGAGGAACATGAAGACGTGGATTTTGTGCCTCAAAACACTTTGTCCAAATAGACTTAACCACAAATTTAGCCACACAGATAGAATTAATATATAACCCCATAAATTAAGCCCTACCCACATTTCTCACCCACACAAGACAGACATGCTTGCAGAGGTGTTGAGGTCTCACACTTATACACACATTCATACAAATATATATACATGCAGGCATCACACACACTCCCCAAAAAACTAAAAGATAACATAGACTTAACACACACATCCCATTCCCAGCATTGATAAAACTGTCAAAATGAGCAAGAAGGGAATTCTGAGAGTCAGGAATCTCCCAGCCTCTATCTCAAAAACAACTTGAAAGAGGCCATTTAATCAACACAAGGATTGATCAAAATTAACGATAAAAAAATAAATGAAAACTACAAATAAAGTATACGTTCTTCAGAGACAATGATTCACTCCTGTAATTCACTGCTACTAACAAGCAGGGATTTTTTTTTCCTGATGATGGCCATGCTGGCGGAAACTAGTCAAGGAACATAATTGAAATAATAAAACAAAAAAATATTAATATAGAACTTGGTGTGTCCAAAAATTTTAAGTTTTTAATATTTTTTATTGTTCAAAACACACGCACACACACACACACACACGCGCAAATATATATAGTGTGCGATGGGTAAATTGTCACCATCTTATAATTTTACTTTTGTGCATGTGCATTGTTTGTTTTTGATTTTGCACAGTATAGTAGGGTCAATTGGACACCATCTGTGAGAAAAAGAGCACCATGGGTGCAATTCACTTTACTAGAAATTTGGAAACCACATGCAGTACTACTTGGAATTTGCACTGGAAGCTCCAATACAGACATTTCAAAGTGTTTGGGTCTCAATCTGAGGAGAGTGCAGAAGATTCCAAAAGAGTTGGATGAGTCGAATGGTGATTATGAATGTATGATAGCTCGGTAAACTCACTTTGATCGTTTTGATAAGAAAAGAACTCCTGATTTTTTGGTGAGGTCTTCAGCCTCAATATGGAGACCTACATCAAATGCCTTGAGGAGGTAGTGCTGCCCTAGGTCAAGAGGGTGGATGAAGGCAAGAATTATAGCACTATTCACCAACTTAAACAAAGAGACCATACAGAAGAGTTGGAAGAGATTCCGAAGTCACCTGAAGCCAATGGCAATTTTATTGAATAAATTAACATTTCAAGATATTTTTGTGTAATTTTGGTAAATATATCTGTTAAAATTAGTTGTCAATGTTATTTTCATTTTTGCATAATTTATCTGACAATTTATCCATTGCACCCTGTATAGGTTTAATGTATGATTTTTTTATATAAAATATACCTTTGTGCATACAAGAAAGCCAGAAAATTATTAATTCTCTGGCACCCATCATTTTTCCAAAAGAATTTAATCTGTGCAATTTTTTTTCTTAAATCCTTTAATAAAGAACATAACTTTCACAATTTTTATTGATAAATGATGAAAATAAAAAGGGAATTTCTAATTAACATTGGTAATGCAATACTGTAAAAAGTTGAAACAATTTTCAATATTTTAAAAATGCACTATACAATATAAAAGCAAAAACATTAGTCTCTTACTTGTACAGTCAACATTTTCTCGGTGATCACAGAATCTTGCTTTTGAAGAAAACAGAGTTCCTTGTGGACAGCTTCCAAAAAACATTTGTTGGTTGAAGCACAGAATAAACTTATTGCAGTTATAAGGATGTGGATATTCACCATCAGCAATTCCTTTGCAGTGGCCTATTAATGGCATTCAAATATAAGACTATTATTATTTTGAATAAAAAATTGGACTAATATTAGTGTGGAATAAAGGATATGATTCTTATTAATGTCAATAAAACAGACGACTATTATTAATTGTATTAATACATATGACTATCATTTTTTAAATAAATCACAGTACAAATATCAGTGGAAATAAATACAGATATCTGTTATTAATGGGAAAATACACAGGGTTGTTATTAATAGGAATAAATACATGGAACTGTTATTATTGGGAATAAATACATGGGGCTATTATTAATGAGAATAAATACACAGGTATGTTATTAATATGAATAAATATACTGGGCTGTTATTAATAGGAATAAATACATGCGTCTATTATTAATGGGAATAAATACACAGGGATATTATTAATAAGAATAAACACAGGGCTGTTATTAATAGGAATAAATACACAGGGCTGTTATTAATAGTAATATTTACAGTGGGCTGTTATTAATAAGAATAAATAAATGGGGCTATTATTAATGGGAATAAAATAGAATTATAACTAATAAGTATTAATGTTGTTAAAATAGGAATATTATTAATGTGATGAAAAAGAGGACTATTATTTGTAAGAATAAAGCATATTTTGAATAGAGTTACTTATAAGTTGTAATAAGTATGACCAATCTTGTTTTATAAACATGAAAGCAGTTGAAATCAATTTTAATTTTGGAATTACATTTTTTTATTTTTTAAATTCTTTTTGCCTATAGACTATTGTTTTCTTTTAAAAACCATTGACACTAACAAGGTGTTCCCATGTGGTGACCTTGTGTCAGACTAGGCTGTATTAAATATTCTAAGTTTTGTAAATATTTGTAATGCATACCTTCTAAAGTAGGATATTTTGGAGAACTCTCAACTGGTGTCTTCTCCGACACTGTAACTGGTGTACTATTCAGAACATTGTTTGAATCTGGGCTCTGTTGACTTGGAATCTTGACAATGGTGTTGTAATTAAGTGCAATTAAAGGCATTCTGTCTTTCACTTGATTAAAAAGAAAAGAAAAAAATGAAAGTTTAATTAAAAATTACAAATGTTAAGTTAAGTATGTTTACTTAGTCATTCATAAATATTTAATAATAGTTTATCCATACCATTACAAATTATGGGAACAATTAATTTTGCAATTTCATTGGTTACATTTTCTATAATGGTGTGATTAACCTCATGAATTTCATCCGTTAACATAATAAAGAGAAGAAGCATTGATAAGAAAACATGATTTTTTTTTTTACAGCAAGGTTCACCCTGTACAAAGCGTAGGGACAACTCAATGTACAAGGTTATGCTAAGGGGTAGTTTACATGGATAAGAGGGGAAGATAATGGTTGACTCTAGACTTGAACAGGTTAAGATTGTAGTGATTGGTGAAACTTCCTCTTGTGTCTGTTCTACAGAGCAGCAATTAGCAGGAAGAAGCTATTTGAGTGGAATTTATTTTAATATAACAGTATTTGAGCTGTCATTACTTACCTTTTTTTATTTGATTCGAACTATAACTAGCAGATGGTAGTCTGAGTCATCTTACTTGTTTTTAAAACTATTTGACACTTACAGGGACTACTTAGGCAACAACTTCATGCAATTTAAACATTGCAGATTCTTGAAGAACTTTCAGGAACACAAGAAAGAAAGTTAAGGAACTGCTGTTCTGTGGGACCAACTGCCAAGAGGATGTTTTGCCAGTTACTACAATTTTAACCTGTTCACCATTAACTATTATCTTCCCCACATATCTGCATAAACTGTGTCTCCTAATCTGTAACCCTCTATCTCAAGTGGCTTTGTACAGGGTTAACATCACTGTAAAAAAAAAGTCTTTGCCTTGTATTGTTACTTTTACATAGCAGCATCTCTTTGGCACTATGCTTGGAATTTGAAATTGGAGAACAAAGTTCAAACTACAGTCAGGTTCATTGCATTCACTTATGCACAAAATACCCTTGGGGAATGTATGAATCCATTTATGGTTTAAATAGTAGGACTTGTATCTAGAAAAAATCATTGTTATCTCCAAAAAATTATTAATGCAATATTCACTTGCGAATAAAAAAATAATTATTCTTACAGTCCAAGGTATATTTTGGATTTAAATAACCCACAAAGGGTTGATAAACCATAAAATACAAGACACTCAATCTTATAACTAGATTTTCTAACACTTTAAGGTGATAGTGATGGGAAGGGTATAAAAGTTGCTAGGTTGCACAAGTAAATCGAACTAGCATAAGTAGTTCAAATTCTACACTTACCAATAATACTATTGGTAAAGGCATGAATCAAATTGTCCCTTTGTTTGTCTCATTACCAGTTATTTTTGACAAAAATCCCATATCACTGGAATGTCATGATAGTTGATAGAGAAGATGGTAGCTAAATGAACAGTTGAGCAAACCACTCCTCCAAACTACCTTAGAAAACAGTAGAAAACTACTACTTCTATTATTAACCTTGACAGAGACTGATCATATTGAGCTGAATTTGCCTCACCTGCACACATGGCATTATCAGGGTGATCACATCGCTTGCTGTTTAGATTGAAGTGCAAGTTGTTTGAACATTCCTTAACAAATGTTTGCCATTCATAGCATTGAATAAAAGCATCACATCGTTGTGGGTGAGGATAAAGGCCATCTTCTTTGTAGATACATTCACCTAGGAGAAAGAAAGAAAAAGAATAGAAGCATTGACATTTATATATGGAGATATTTTAGATTTTACTATCTGTAAATTGATCATTATTTACAAGCGGATTATTGTCTTCATCTTTGTCATTATTATCATAATGTTTCAGCTGTTGAGTTCTTCATCAAATGCTTATCAATCCAGGTAATCATCAGAGAATTTTGAACAGAATCCATTACTTAATCCATATTCCACTGAACATATCTAGAGATATCTTGTCTGTCTTATTTAGTACTGCTTTGTTATTGCTCACAATATAATAACACTTTCTCAACTTTAAACAATGACCCCTATCCTGAAAAAATATCCCAAAATGACCCCTGTCCTAAAATGACATTTGACACATAAATGACTGTAAATGTCATTTTACCCCTAAATGACTGTAAATGTAATTTGACCTCTAGATGACCCCTATCCTAAAGCAACACCCCAAAGCCAAAATGTTATGTTTATATCATGCATGAATGTAATATATTGGCAAATTTGTTTACATGTATTATAACATAATCATGTCTTTCTTTTTATATGCTGTGTCCTTTCAGGATGCTGGGATGCTCTTATTATTGATGTTAAGTTTATTTTTTTCTCTTTTTGTCTGTGCATGTGTGTGTGTTTGTGCAGGTGTATGTGTGTCTATGTGTGCATGTGTTCATGTGTGTATGTGTCAAATATATGAATAAAGACAAAAGTAAATCTTATCTTGGCTGATACATTTTGTCCATTGCAGGATTAGAGGATGAAACATCTCAACAAAGTCAAACCTTTCACTTGTATTAATTATATATATATATATATATATATATATATATATAATATTAGTGGAAAATATACATACATATGCAAAATATATAAATACCCATACATGTATATTTTCAGAAAAAAATTCCAAGAGGAAGAATCCAGGTAGAACTCAATGTCTAGGACAGAGTAAGGATATAATAAAAAGGCTTAAACACTAATATTCCATGGTCATAATTTATTCCATTGGAATCGTAAATATGATCCAATTCATCAGACCTACAAATTCAAAATGAAAACAGAAAAAAAACCACTCCGGAAGTGAAAACAGTATTTAGAAAGTATATATATATATATATATATATATATATATGTACACAAAAAGTGTATCTTATATTTTATAAAAACATAAGATATACTTTATGCCCGATGAGCTGGAAAACCAGCAAAACTTAAGTCACACACCAAAACGTAGGTATATGTAAATGTATATTTATTAATATATATCTTTGCTCTCTCTAACCACATCAAGCACTGATACTATTTGCTTGCCTGTGTATGCACACCAGCACACGTATATATGGTTGCTTATATCTGGTTGTTTGATTTATCTAACTCTCTCTCTTTCTCTCTCTCTCTCTCTCTCTCTATATATATATATATATATATATATGCGTGTGTGTGTGTATTTAAAAATTCAGATATAACCAAAATATTTTTGGCTATATCTGTAAAAAGTGATCTTTGAAAGGAGTATCAAGAAGTGACACTCTGATTCCTTACATAGAGTACACAGATACTCTGATTCTTGACAGAATGGCTGATCCTTAGGTACTGAATCCCATTATATTTTATTGCCACTTTGCTAGTAATTTCTAAATAGTTATATGACAATTCTTTTCAGTTCTTTTTAATAATAGTTAAATAGTTTTTAATTATGGATTAACAAAAATTTTTGTGTCATGTTTTATAGAGTGCAGAAAAAGAATTTGTGAGAAAAGAATTTGCCAATAAAACCCTAAAAAGAATTAAAGCAAAATAAAAAAAAAAGATTTACTCTAAAAATTTAAAGACAAATTTGATGCAATGACAATTATATCTCTTAATGTTCTATGCTTTGGTAGATGGAAATTAAAATAGGTTCTAGTATTTTCTCACTTACTCAGGATGGTGGATTTTTCCTGGTTGACCCAAGTTGTCATAAAATCTGGAAAGATAAAAATGAAATTAAATCCTGAAATAATTTTTTTTTTCAGATTCTGAGGTGGAACATTTTTATTATTACACATTTTTATTAATTGCTATTGCTCTTTTCAGTATTGATGGGGGTTTCCTTCCTAACCTTTTGTTTGAAGTAGTGTGGAATCTCAACATCTACATTATGCTATCAATTTCCTTTTGACTTACATATGCTATCCATTTTAGTTGTTACTGTTGTTGGAAACCTTCAAGTGATGTGGTTTCTTATATTTGGTAAAGTTCTTTATGATTTTGTTGCTATTTATCATTGATTAGATACATTTCTTCCTCAGATTAGGCAAGTATATTTATTTATTATATATATATATCTAAAGAAATTATATATATTGTAAATATCATTTTTTTCTAATCAAATTCAACCCATGCAAGGCAGTAAAGCCACTGAAACACAAGGGGTTGCTGCATGTGAAAAAATTAGAAAACAGAAACATTATTAAGGAGTGAGAACAATAGAAGAGTAATCAGGAAGACAGTACATGACAATTGACAATGCATTTAAATCTTTGAAGATCAGAGTTGGCTGGAAAGCATAGGGCCGGAAGAGTATTCTATAAGTGAGAAGTGTGAGAAAAGAAACTTAGCTTAGAACTTATGGCTACATCTTGCCAATTCAACTGTGAATTGGTGAGAACTTGGTGCAAATCTAGTACTAATATTTGCTATATTTATTGGTGAAAATACTCAGTATCAGAGATAGAGTGTATGTAAATATAAAAGGGCACAATGAAGTCAATAAAATGCATCAACAGTCTGTTTCATACTTGAATGCAATCTTCAGGTCAATTGAAGAATGTATTCAAGTATGAAATTTTTTAATTTCTAAAGAAATTATATATATATAAATATATACTAAAGAAAAGATAACAATGTTAGTATGAACAACAGACAGCTTGCCAGATGACTGAACACCTGAGTCAAGAATAAATCCTGAACAAGGAAAGAAAAAAAGACCAAAAGACAAACACATACCTATGCAGTTAAAATAATGTGCTCAATGTCCAGATTACCCAGATAGGGCAAAAAATGTCAACACTTAACAAAGGACAGTTTGAGTCATTACTCAAGTTTCATAGTAGATACGTGTATTTGAAATAGATGCCTCAATTTTACTTTTACTTTAAACAGTGCATATTACATCTATTAACCTGACTATTCAAGAATTCTCAATAAAGAAAATACGCTATATGTGTATCATCATCATCATAAGTAATAACTAAGATATTGACTACATGTGCACAAATTGCACGAAATTTTGACAAATGACATGTTAACCTTCAAGAGAGTGCAGTACTTGTGTAACCAATGTAAGAATTTAATGTTTGTTGATTGTTAGTGTTGGAGATACAATCTCCCAAAGGACATAAGAATTCATAAACAACATTATTTTACACACATATTCACACACACTCACATACACATATATATGATAAAAAATATAGTTTTGAGGTATGCTATATTTATGTGTAAAAGTGGTCAATATCAGGGATAGAGCATGTGTAAGTACAAAGAGTGGACACTGAGTTTAATACTGAGTAGCGACAGTCTGTTTCACATTTCAATGCCATATATATATATATATATATATATATATATATACACACAAAGCTACAATTTTCCCGAAGGAAAATATAGAACAGAAAAAGATATATATAAGAATATCTGCGGGAAATTGGAAGCAACAGTTTTATAACCATCGCCAGCCCTTCACAAACAGATCTAAAAAACACCAAACAGCACTATCAAAACATTATTGGGATTTGTTGGAGAATGGCTTAACCCCACAAGTAAAATGGAAAATTGTCCCTAGGGCTCGAACTCCAATAAATTTCAGAGACCAATGTGACCTGTATATAAAAGAGAAGATCCGAAAGATAAAACATAAAGATCTGGATATATTACTGAACCAACATAACGAGTTAATTTTTAAATGTAGACATAGAAACCATCTCAATCTAACTAAATATATTTAGAAAAAACTATATAGAAAGGAAAATATTGTTATTTTTGGATTTGGAAATGATTGTATGCACACATGGATGTGGATACATAATTGTATGTATACAAATGTGTAGATGAACTTGGACATTGATACATGGTTTTATGTGTATATGAATATGCATTTGTATAAGGGTGTATATAGACATATATATGTATTGTAGGTGCTTATGTAAAAATATATATATGTGTATATGTGTATCCGTAAGTTTAGGTAGGTATTTTGTGTAGATATATATTGTGTCATGTATATAGGATTGCATGTGGTTTGTATATATATATATATATATATATATATATATATATATATATGTATATATATATAAATGTAAGTATTTGTGAATTTGTATATGTAATATGTGTGAATATATGTAGGATATAGTAATATGAATACATATGCATATATAGGTATATATGTGTATAGATTTGTCTTATATATATATAGAGAGAGTATTCTAATGGAAGGACATAAAATTCTTTTATTAATGTTTAATCTTATTTTCTCTTTAAATATTCTCTAATTAGAATTATGAAATTGAAATTTTTTATCATCTGGAGGTAATTTCATTTTAAATTGATAATTTAATTTAAATTTAAATATATTACTCTTTAACTATCAGTCTTGATAGTAAAAGTATTAAAATTAAAATTTTTTTTTGATATTTAAACACTTAAGTCACCACCTAATGTTAAACATTAACTGTAAAATTTAAGGAAAAATTTAAATAGACATAAATATAAATATGTGTAAATATTTGTAAATGTATTTGTAAGTATTTATATATGAATATGCATAAGTACCTGTGTATATCGATACATATGTGTGTGCCTATGTGTGTAATTGCACATGTAAATGAACGTATGTATATGTGAGATTTACATAAGTGTATATGTGATATATATATATGGAAAAACAAATTTTTTTAATATTACCTTCAAATATTACACCATCTTAATTTGAAACCTTAACTTTAAGTAAGAAAAATTACCCATTTAAAAATAGTTACAAATTATATTCATGAATTAGACTCAAATTGATAAAAATGTTACCTTAACAGTCATTTACAATATTAAAAGATTACTATCAGTAAATCTTTTATTTTTTAAATATTTTTTAATGTGTTTTTTATTAATATGTTTTTAAATATAGTATTTAACTCATATTAAATCCCTAAATTATTTGTAAAAGAGTCAAATATTTAAATTGCTAGCAAGCATCAAATTAATTTCTTCGTGTTTTTTTAAACATTTATTTATTTATTTACTATCAAACGTTAAAATCTGTTTTTTACCTAAATTGCTAAAATTATACCACCCCTCCTCTTCCTCTGTAAAGCCTAAATACATCTTCTTTCTCTTTATTTCCCCCTCCTTTCTTTTTTCTTTTTTCTCTCTTCTTTCCTTCTTTTTTAACATATCATTTCTGTTAAGTTAACCGATTAAATAGGTCAATGTCTGGTCCCTCCTTCCTCCATACTGAGTATGATAGAAAGAAATATTAAAATAAACCCTCTCTAAACTTGACCATGTCTCTCACACCACTCCTAGCTACCCTCTTTTTTAAATTACATAAACTTAATACTACCCGTCAAAAGTTTAAATTTTCATTTCATTTTTCGTTTCACCTGTTGGAAGTGATGTCTGATGATCCAGCATCCTTTAAAAGATCTCTGGTGAAATAAATTATTACAATGGAGCTTTAAAGTGGTCTGTTTTTCTTTAAATTACATATATATATATGAACAATATTGATTCAAATCAAAAGCTGTCCTTGCAGTAAATTTGGCTTAGTCCAATAAACATTTCTCTAAAAAGACCATTTTAAAGCAAAAATAGTAGTTACTGCTGTAAAGTCATATATCAAAGTGGTCAATACTTAAGTAAGTAATCATACAAAATGCATATATTTGTCAAGGGGAGACTATTTATAGTCTCAACTCTTCACATATTTAAACTATATTACCACTACAGCTATAATAATCAAGAAAATAACTTACGATTTAAACTTGGTACAACTGCATAAATATTTCTCAATAAAATGATATTTTTCCATTGGTGTTGGTTCCTGCTTGTATGATATGAATCTGAAAAAAAAAAGTATCAGAAATAAAAAAAATTAAGGCAAAAAAATTACATTATTAAATATTAATCTATTTCTTATTACTATCCTATTATAGTTGTACTTGTCTCTCCTTTTGTTAGTTATGTTACGTCCTGCCAATACATCATAAATAATGGACTATTCTGTTTTGATCATGTGGAAAGAGTGGAAAAGACACTACTTGGTTTCAGCAAGAAAATGAATGAAAGAAATAAGGGAAAATAGAAGTGGAGAGAGAGAGAGAGAGAGAGAGAGAGAGAGAGAGAGAGAGAGAGAACCAGATTAAGCTGATAAGTAAAGATCTTTGATCTCTGCTAAAAGACAGCAATCACAATAAAAGAGCCATTTTTCAGATGCCCCATATGGAACAATGGAAACCGGGTAAGTAAAAATCCAGTTGCCATAAATAAAATAACATTGCTAGCTGAATTATTTTAAAATTATTATTAAGAAAAATATTCATAAACATGGATTTGGCTAGTAGTAATTAATATGGTAATATTAATATTAGCCATTTTCTCATAAGGAAACATTCAACATTCACTAACCAAACAGCTAGACCTAACATAGGTTGAATTTTATAAAATCTTTGTATGAAAACAATTTTTCAAGAAAAAATGTTTTTTCAAGTCCAGTTATTGCTCTTTCCAGCTTTGATGGGGGCTTCCTTCCTAACCTTTTGTTTGAAGTAAAGTGGAACGTCATATCTTATATTGTTAAGATTGTGGTCACCAAAAATGAATTCTGGTATGTCTTCTAATTCTCTCAGAATCCCCTATGTTTATAGGTTGAATAAGTTCAGTGAGAAGACACATCCTTCTTTTACACCCATTTTCTATTTTTGAATATTTACTGAATTTATTTTCTGTCTGCATGCAGGTATTTTGCTGCCAGTGGAAACACCCCTAAAATTCTAGATGACCAGAGTTTGACAGCTGATCTCTCCTCTGGCCTAACTCTAGCAGTTCAGTGGGTAAAAAACTGGCTGGTCACATTCAATGCCTCAATGATCAAACTATTGACCTTCCACCGTCACTGATTGGACCCAGAATTTTTACCAATTATGATGAATGGGTGTCTCTTCAAGGAGGTCCTGTGCCTTGGGCACCTATTGGGACATAAACTCAACCCAGACCTCAAATGGAACTTGTACATATGAGCCATCACTAAAGATGCTGGAAAAATGGTTGGTTCCCTGACCCACTCCAGCAAGTACCTCACTCCTCTTCCTATCCTTTACCTTTACAAGAGCCAGATCAAGCTAAAAAGGAAATACTGCTGCCATATATGGGCAGGAGCCGCTCAGTCCTCACTTTCCACTCTTGATAGAGTTCAGAAATGTCTCTCTGTCCTTGTAGGCTGTTATGCCATAGTACCTATTCTATTGTAATGGACTCTCCCATAGATAATAAGTAGGAGTAGCAGTGGCAAGTCTGGCAGAATGGTGTTGAGCGCGTCAGTCGAGATTCGGACATTTGAAGTACCAACCATTACAACTAGATTGCTGTGCCATTGACTCTTATTTTCCAAGTTCCTAACATTTTGTACGTCGGACCTAATTTAGGACGACTTATTAGAAATACAAGCCTCCACTGTGAAAATACTCCACAACATAGGCAATGAATTATTTTCCACTCAGCAACCCCTTTCTCATAGGTGAGACATCACAAGTCTATCACTGTTCTATTGCTATTTCCATGGTGAATGTTCAAATGAATTACACTCCTTATTCCACCACTCCTAACCTTCACAGCTAAGACCCACGATGCCATGCACATTCTAGTGAACCACCCTCATTTCCTTCATATCCCACTGATGAGATGTAAATTCTATTCAAACAGCTTATTTCCAGCTGCCTTGTAGAAGCGACTCTTAAGAGGTTGATTTCCAATCACTACAATCCTTGCAAGTCTAGGGTGAACTGTTATATTCCACAAATTTGTACAAGGTGAATACCACTGTAAAGAAAGAATAGTATGTCAAGGTTACCTAAATCATATTTTTGCACAATAAAGGCAAATGCATACCTCATTATTTTTCTATTACATCAGAAACATCCTGCAGCTGCATAAGTGCTGCTTTACTTCTTGCTTCGATGCCAAAATGTCAAAATCATTGCCAAGTGTGTTTGTGTTAGGCTTTTCCTTTAATTTTGGATTAAAATATTATAAGACTTCATACTTAAACACTTTAAGCAGTGTGAAGTCCAATGATGTTCTACATTTTAGTCTGGATTTTGCAAAACACTTCCAAAGATTTTGTATTAATGTCACATCATTTTAAGTTGTCCTTCACTTACTTTTGTATCCGAGAAGAAAACAACCTACAGAATGCAATGAATTTGGTATATGACTTTAGATGATCTACTTTTGAATCCTACTGTCATCCGTCTAAATTAGGTGAGCAAAATACCTGTGCCATATATTAAAAAATGTTTTACTAAAATTGACCAATAAATATAATAACAATTAAACATCTTGTATTTCTTGCTGCCCGATTCTCTCTCTCTCTCTCTCTATATATAAGTTTTGCTAAAAATGACTGACTGCAGTTCAACTTAGTGTTATTCTTCCAATTACTTTTCTTGTTGGCTGCCAGGCCATTTTTAATGAAAATTGTATAAAGAGGGATTGCTTCCCAAATCCACAATTATTAAATTACATGACCTGGAATCCAACAAAAAATGTAATTGTGTGAACAACAGTAACAAATTTGTACCTTGTCAGTCATTTTCAACAAAACTTGTATAAATGAGTGATTGCTTCCCCAAATACACAATTATATAATATATATATATATATATATATATATATATATATATGTAAAAAGTGTATATAAATATAAATAAATATATCTGTGTATAATTATTTATATATTATATGCGTGGTACTTATTAGTTATAGTTATATATATATATATATATATATATATATATAATTTTTTTATTATTTATTAAAAAATTATAACATAAACATGTTATAACATCACCAGAAAAATAGCCATTTTGTTTCAACACTTCTGGTGTCTTCTCGAATGATGGTGTTGAATGCTTTATTTATTTACTCTACTCTGTATTGAGCACTTTTTTAAGAATAGCATTTTTGGTTATTGGAATTTTATCCCATCTACACCAATCCTATACCTGGATATATATATATATATATAAATATATATATATATATACATCAGTTAGCCTGAAAACCATACCACGGGTTGACCCAAGCCTTGTGAGTGAAATTGGGTAGACAGAACCCTTGGGGGAGGTTGATAGCCATGCTAGCATGACGTCAAAAGTCATCGTGACTAAGGGCTTGAGAGTGCTGACTTTGTTCAGATTGTTGATCATGCTAGATAACATGCTCTCTCCCAGAAACTGTAACTAAGGTCTGCTCAGCATAGTTTCAGTATAAACCACAGGTTGGCTCTGTGGGTGTTGAACAAACACAAATGTGCCTGAGCGAGCGTCTGCAATAGGGATTGGCTATTCTCGATTATGAGTGGCCAGCTATTATATATATATATATATATATATATATATATATATATATATAAGAATAATGCAAATAGAATTTGTCACTTACCTGATTGATCTTATATTCAGCACTTCGTGACAGATAGATAAATAGATAGATAGACAAGAAATGTTTTGTAATTTTTTTATTCAGTTTTTCTGCCATTGGCCATTGTATTCAATAAAGCATACATAAAAAAGGATTGCTGCCCCAAATACAATCAATATTATGTTTATATAGGAATCACATACACACACATTATATATATATATATATATATATATATATATATATATATATATACACATGTGTGTGTGTGTTCATATGCATACACATGTCCACACATATATGTGTCCACATATGTCTACACATATATGTGTGTATGTATGTGTATGTATGTATTTAGGAAGCTAAAAGATTAATAGCATTTGGTCTAAAAATGACATTTAATCACTGAAACTGATAGTCACCAAGCAGTGTTTTATGTCCACATTTTTTCTTTCTCATGTATATATATGTGTGTGTGTGTGTGTGTGTGTGTGTGTGTGTGTGTGTGTGTGTGTGTGTGTGTAATTTAATAAATTGGAAAGCTTTTAAGTGATGTGTTACATTCCAAAGAGGAATGTCTTTAAACTAATAAAACAAATTTAACCACTATTAATCTGACACAAACACACATATATGCACGTACGCACACACACATACACACACATATTGACCTGTGACACCAGTGGTAAATAATTTTCTTTTGTCTTGAGGTCCATTATGAAAGTAGGGAGTTTGATCCTCCTTACGTGCCCCAAATATATAGCCTTGCAGCAGAAGAAACTTAACCATATCATTTTAAACTTACCTTTGCAGTCAACCTTTTCAGAACGTTCACACATTCCAGACATTGAAGAAAATTCATGTCCACTTGGGCAGACTCCAATAAACATCTTTTGGTTGAAACACAAAATAAACATTGAACATTTGGAGGGGTGGTCATATTGACCATCTTCAATACCCTGGCAACGTCCTGCAAGAGAGGAAATCATAAAGAATGGTAAGAAATTTATCTTACGAAATTACAGAAATATGTCTGAAAAGATTTATTCCTTACCCTCAATGGTTGGCTTCTTTGAGATTCTATCAATTCTTTTGTCATGACTTGAAATCGGATCTAATCAAATATAAAAAGAAAGAAAATATTACTTTATTATTTTGGATTAAAATAACTCCAGTTTTACATGCTTAACAAATACACAAATATATTTAATATATAAATTTACTGGCAGTAAAATTTTATCGTTTTTCAATTTCAATTTTAATTTTCTGATGAATCCATTAAGTTTATGATTGAATAGGCTCTTTAATATATCTGTACAAATTCCCTTATTTGCATAATTAAATATTAAATTGAAGAGTTAATTAAATATTAAATGAAGAGTTTATCATCTTTTTTTTAGATCAGTTTCTTGTTTTTATCACAAGATTTCAGTTGCTGAACCTTCTTTCCTTCGTTCTACTGCAATATTTTAGAGGAGGTGGCATTATTATACATTGGGCTTATGATTTGATCACCAAAGTTAAGCAACGTTGAAATGGGTGACTGCTTGGGAATATCAGGTGCTGTAAGCTTGCATGTGAAGGTGTTGGAGATGGAGAGCAAAGTTCCAATTCCATTTGTGTTCATTGTATTCACTTACACCCAAATAGCCCTGGGAAAGGTATGACATCATCTCTTCTTCCCCCAGCTATGGGTTAATTAGTAAGACATATCCCTAAGCCATTATTATCTCAAAAAAATCATTCTTACAATCTAAAAATATTTTCTGGCTTTAAATAACCTGAAAAGGGTTAATAAGCTGTAGAAAATGAATCAATCAAACAATGAAATACTGATTAGCTATACAGGCATATCTTTTAAATTTATTTACATTCTACATTCTTTGGAATATATTATGAAATGGATTAAGTCCGACAATTATTTTAATATATTTTCTGTTTATACATTATTTTTATAGATACAAATATTTAAGTAAATGCTCTGTTTATAATAAACGCTATGCCATTTAGCTACAGAGGAAGCATCTGGTTAGCAAGGTCCCCCCAAAAAAAGGGTTTAAAAACAGTAATTTGTAGGATTTCCTCATTCAATTCCTGTTGTAGAAAAGATATTTTCTATGAAATTTCTCAGACATTCCGTCCAGAAAATATTAATACTGTTTATTATAAACAGAGGATTTACTTAAATATTTGTATCTATTAATGTTATGGATGCATGGACTCTCCCAGCTATAAATAGGAGCAGGTACTGCCTTTTGGTGTGTGAAGTTTCCAGCAGTCAACTCTGACAGTCTGACCGAACATTCTTGTTGTAACACTCTTGTTTGTACATGTTTGTATTACTGTTTTCTGTTAATATATTTGTTTAACTCAATTCCTCTCTTGAGTCTTTAATTTATGCCCTAAATATGGCCACAACAATTAATATAACATATAAACAGAAAATATATTCTTTGGAATATAAATTCATAGAAACTCCAAAGTGAAGGATCAGTTTGCATAGAGTATTTCCTTTGAGCTAGTAAAAATTTGATATTTAATTTTTTCTTACATTTTATCCAATGTTGTGTATAATTTCTTTGGAAATAAAAAAAACAACATTGTATTTAAATTTTAAACTTCAGGTCAGGTTAGGCTTATATAAGGCTTAAATGGAGCCTTAAGCTTTGAATTGCAACATTCTTAGAGATGATGTCTTGAAAAACTAAAGTAACCAAGCATATGGAAAATGTTCGGTATACTTAGATGAGTGTCAGGAAGAGCATTTGGCCTTGTAAAACCTTGCCTCAAATCATTATGAGAAATCCTTTGTCAGGCAGGATCCACCTTGTTTTGTGTGAGATTAATTCCAGTCCTACTCAACAAAAAAAAACATGGCTATCTATGTACACATTACATTTAAACTTTGTTAAAGAGATTTCAAAGATGAAAACTAAAAAAACTTACAGTCACAGTTTGAATTTGTTGAATAATCGCACGCTTTTAATGAACTGGAAAAAAAGGAGCCCTTTGGGCAGATTCCAATATACATATGTTGATGATGGCAAAGAATAAACTGGTCACATCTTACTGGATGGGGATATTCACCATCCTGGATCCCTTGGCAGTTTCCTGTAAATCAAATCAGACCATTTTATTAAATTTTTTTTTATTTTAAACAATCTTGAGGATTACCAACTATAACTGTATTTATAGTAACAGGATATGACACATGATCTTTTTAATGTGGGTGCCCATGCACATACACATGGACTTAGGCCAAAAATTACCTACTGTCATACTGATGTTATTTCACCAACCCTCCCTATTTAGTGCAATGAGGGAGGTGTTGTCACAGAGTTAGAATCCCCATGACCAGGATTCCTGCAAAGCTTTTCTGCAAATTGTCTAAGGACAGAAACCTGGCTGAGAGGTGAAAAGCAGATGACACTTTTTGATCTCAGTCTGAAGACCAAGAAATTAAGAAGCCATACTGCAAACATGCAATTGACAATTATGACGGACATTTAAAGAAGGTTGGTGAGTACAAGATACAAAATGCAGTGACAGCAACAAACAATATGAGGATATTAGTAAATCAAGGTATAACAATCTGTTTAGAATATTATATACTTACATATTCATTTCAAATACATGATGGTTATTACTGGAGATAGAGTAGAATAAAGATTTTTCAAATCTCTAGTACTTGCAGATCGCAGCAATGTTATGGCTTGAACTCATTCAATTTACCCTGAATTTCCAATTTATTTTTCTTTTGTTTTAATCTTTTCATGCCAAGCAAGGCAATAAAGCCACTAAGATGCAATGGGATCACTAAGAGTGAAAGAAACTGAGAAAACATTAATGAAGAAAAGGGACAATAAAAGAACAGGATTCAAAAACACAGAAGATTTTGATTGATGTTGCATTTACATTATATAAGATCCTTTTTGTGTTCATAAATACGTTTTTTAAATGTTTTGCTAGTTCCCCCCCCCAATAAGGAACAATTGTTATTGTTTATTTGCCAGAATTGTGCCAGAATTATTATTATGTTGAGTATTTTTGGTTCTGATCATATCCATGATAAGAATATCCTCATATTTGCTTTGATAAAGTCCATCAGAGGATGAAAAACGGCAGTTAAGATAAGTTTTTCTTTTGTCTTTATTCATATCTGAAAAAAAAGGTCCTACATGGCTGAGAGGTCAAGAAATATCATATATATATATATATATATATATATATATATATATATACACATATAAATATAGATAACTAGACTCATTTCGAAAAACCTTCGAAATTTTGATTTGCTAATCAAATCAATCTCGAGGAAAAAAAAAGGTTTTAAAAAAAGAAAGAGCTACAAACATGAACTTCTGCCGACAAAAAAAAATCGCACACAGATGCAGGTCTGAAGCCCAAAGAAAAAAACCCGATACGAGTAACAACTAACTAACAAAAGAGCTCAATACAACTGTAGAGCAGACCTAGATACACCTAGTGAGCCAGACAAACCTACCTAGGTTTCACCTAAACGGATCGTCAGGGAAAGATTTTGGCTAACGAGGCAAAAAGAGAAACACATATTTATAGGTGATAGCTAAAATCGTACCACGTGACAAAAAAAAAACAAACAAAAAAACAAAAAACAAACAACCTAAGTGGGGGTAAATATTTATTCAAAAAAAAAAAAATCCTCAGTGGAAAGTCAATAACGGAAAAACGTCTAATTTAGTAGCCAAGATTTTTTATGTCTACATACATTGAGAATTTCAGTTTTAGAGTTTTTTTTTTTTTTGTTGAATAAATATTTACCCCCCCACTTAGGTTGTTTTTTTTTTTTTTTTTTTTTTGTCACGTGGTATGATTTTAGCTATCACCTATAAATATGTGTTTCTCTTTGCCTCGTTAGCCAAACTTTCCCTGACGATCCGTTTAGGTGAAACCTAGGTAGGTTTGTCTGGCTCACTAGGTGTATCTATATATATATATATATATTTTGTTGGATTGATGTGAGTTTGTGACCCTGGGTTTCATGCTATTTGCGATCAGCAGACAAACTGATTAATTTTTAAGTTTTGGATTTATATATGGTTGCGTATATCATTGTTTTTAGGGAAGTGTGAGGAAAAATTGTCGTCGGAACACAACTCATACTTACGCAAGCATACATACATGCACGTTCACTCATTGACATTTGGAGACAGACATAAATGCACGGTCACTCACCGGAGCTAACACAAACATAAACATATGTGAATAGTGTGGGACTGGGCATATATGCACATCCATGTGTTGTTGCATACATACATACACATTTGGTCACTGCCTATCACTGATATTGAGTGCTTGCCAATAAGTACCGCGTGCATATAATATATAAATAATATATATAAAAAAATATTTATATACATACACATTTCACACACACACACAAACACACACATACACATATATATATATACACTCCTGATCAAAAATTTAAGACCACTTGAAAATATTTTTCCAGGAAAAATTTTAAATATTTCTTACTTAAAGTTACTAATTTTATAACCTAAAAGGTTATGTAGACAAAAAGTTATAATCCGAACATTTTATAGAGAAATTGACATTTTTATAAAATGAGGCGTTTTACACTTGATCAAAATTATAAAACCGGAGACAAAAATTATATGAAATTGTAGGAAAAGTGTATGAAAATATTCAACAACCAAATTTAATAATGAGTTCTACCTCCACTGGTTTTGATGACTTCAAAAATTCTTTGGGGCATGCTAGAAATTAGTGTTTCCATTTAACTGAGAGGAATATTGCTCCAGCTTCTGAAGATAGCTTCACGAAGTTCATTTTTTGTTGAATATTGTTTGGAGCTCCATCATCCCTCTGTAAGAAAAGGCACTCCATACCATTAGGGACCCTCCACCACTATGACGTGTGGAGAAAATTTCAGGAGACATGTTTTTGTTATGCCAATATTGGTGGAAGCCATCAGGACTATCTAGATTGAATTTTTTTCTCATCAGAAAACAGGACCTTCTTCCATTTCTCAATGTCCCATGTTTGGTATTCACGACCAAACCTCAAATGGTTCACTTTGTGATGTGGAAGAATTTGTTTGCGCTTTTTATATACCATGCCTTTTTGTTGTAAGTGTCGTCTGATTGTTACTGGACTGCAATCAGCATTTGTGGCTGTCTTAATTTGATGAGAAGAAAATCCACTGGCTTTCATAACAAGCTGTCTTATTCAATGAGAATTTTTTTTTGGCCTACCAGTAGACTTTGCGTTTCCATAATTCTCACTGTCCTTCAGAAAGTTGCAAATCATAGTTTTACTGTGATTTACCTTAGCTGCGATCACCCGCTGTGACAAACCTTGATTATGGAAATCTAGAATTCAAGCACATTCAACTTCAGTACGTTTGCTTGCTTTAGGCATGGTGACACATTTACGCCGTGATTGCTAATCTCTAACTGAACTAAAAACATTAGAATTATCATAGATCTAACAATTTATACCCCTGGTCTTATAATTTTGATCAAGTGTAAAACACCTCATTTTATAAAAATGTTCATTTCTGAATAAATTGATTGGATTATAACTTTTTGTCTACATAACCTTTTAGATTATAGAATTAGTAACCTTAAGTAAGAAAAAGTTTATAATGTAACCATGACAAACAGTCTCTTATAAAAAATTTTCAAGTGGTCTTAAATTTTTGATCAGGAGTGTATAGAGTTCAAGTAATCGATCCATTGGTATATAATATATATGGATCCTAGGAATACTAATTATTAAAACTGATCCACAGAGAGCTTGATGTTTTTATTTTAACAGAGCCTATGTATTTTTTACAGCAAAAAACCATTAATTTTTGGTTTTCTGAGGTAATTTTTGTTTTTTTAAATATATATATTGCTGTAATATATATATATATAAATATAAATGTAAAAGTGAATATTGAAGTCAACACTCAGAGGTGACAGGTCGTTTCATGCTAGACACAATCATCAGGCCCGATGATTGCATCTAGCATGAAATGGCCTGTTGCCTCTGAGTGTTGACTTCAATGTTCATTTTTACGTTTATATTTACATATGCTCTATCTCTGATATTGTGCACTTTATCCCATAAATATAGCACACCTTAAAACTATATTTCTTTATGGATGGATTCAGATGACTACTACTATACAATGGCTACGA